AACAACCAGGTAAATTTAGAATGAACTAGAAAGGAATATATTACAAAGGTGTAGCCAGGTCCTCTTATCTGAGGACAAGTTACCAGTAATCTCTGGAGCATATATGTAGTGCAATGCTTGACTGTGTATTAAAAGGGTGGGATTTCCCTCTGCCTCTGTAATCTCATTAGCAGATTACCTGTGAGTATGTCACAGTTATAAAACTGTTCTCCTTTGGCAGGGTTCCGTGGAGGACTTTCTACATTGTCAGGAGATTTTAATCCCCCCCCCCCCACACACACACACAGCATCTTAATCATCTTTGATAAGAAGACAGAAAAACAGGAGGGCTGGGATGTCATTGATAAGAAAGCAAGAGTCATTCATAAGAATGACTTACCCCTCATCTGTGCAGCCGTGGGGTCTGCCTTCTACCTAACAGGTTGGAAACTGTTTATCAAGGTCTGAGCGTCAGGGGAGCTGATTCTCACCTTCTCGGGGCCAGGGCGGAAGGCAGGAGAACAGTTAGGAGCCACAGTGCAGACGTGAACTGGGACAGTGGCCAAGGAGACAGAGAGAAGGAGACAGATCTGAGAAATATTAGGAGTGACTCTTTTAGAAAAGAAAATTGCACCTGGCCAGTGTGGTTCAGTGGTTGAATGTCGACCCATGCACCAAGGGGTCACTGGCTCGATTCCAGGCCAGGGCCCAATCCCCAGTGGGGGGCATGCAGGAGGCACCCAGTCAATGTCTCTCTCATAGATGTTTCTATCTCTCCCTCTCCCTTCCTCTCTCTCTCTTTAAAATCAATAAAGAAAGAAAATTGCTTCTCTGTTCCAAAAATCGAGGCACAGAGAACGTAACCTCTGTTGGGTATTTGAACGTGGATAATACCTCCCAGCACAATTAAGATAAAATTCCAACACATAAGAGAAAAGCCCACCCTCTTCCCAGGCCCTGTTGGACCTGTTCGAGATTAGTAGTGTGGTGGTTGAGAACAGTGTGGTGAGAGTAATATATACAATGTTTCATTGACTAGGAAGAGCTATTTCAATCCTTATCCGATCCTCCTCGTTTTATAGGTAGAAAAACCAAGGCGTCAAGATGTTAACTTCTAGGGGGCATTTGGAGGGTGAGGTGCCAAGGATGGCAACACGTTCTGGTTTCACAGGAATAGATGGATGGGCAGCCTTTTCTCGGGCAGGAACCATTGGGAGGAACAAAGGAAGTGAGGTGGGTGGGGGGATGTGAGTTCCATCCCGACAGGTTCAATTTCAGGGACCCAAAGGTAATGTCAGGTGACGAATTGGCTAAGCGAGTCTAGATCTTAGAGAAGCAGGCTGGGCTGAAGAGAGAATGTGAGCATCGTCCCTGGCTTTGGATTGTCATTCAAATTGTAGATACGGGTGAGAGAGTGAAAGAGGGGAGCCTGTGGTTGTGGCCCCTGGGGCCCCAACGCGTACCGTCTGGGTAAGACTGCAAAGGGGACTGAGAAGGAGCAGCCCCAGAGAGAGGGTGGGGCCACAAGGGTCAAGGTGAGTCAGCGTTTGGAGAAGCAGCTATGTGGTGACCAGCCTGTCCTTGCTAGAAAGAAGGCAAGAACGAGGTCAGGAAACTGCTACTGAGTTCAGAGATGTAAAGGTCCAGTCGGACTCCATCCCAGATCCGCTGGACTCCAGGTGCGCCCCTAAACCTTTCTGTTTTACTGACTTCTTTTAACGTTTTTATTTATTGATTTGAGAGAGAGAGAGAAACATCGATTTGTTGTTCCACTTGTTTATACATGCATTGGTTGATTCTTGTATGTGCCCTGACTGGGGATCAAACCTGAAACCTTGGTGTATCAGGACGATGCTCCAACCAGCTGAGCTCCCAGTCAGGACTAAACCTTTTTATTTTAATGACTGGAGTAGCAGCTGCAACAGAAGCACCAGCCCCAGAATTCCTGTATTGAAGCCCTAACCCCAGGACCTCAGAATGTGACTGCATTTGGAGACAGGGTCTTTAAAGAGATGAGTCCTGATCCAATAGATCTGGGGTCCTTACAAGAATAGGAGCTAAGATGCAGACATACACACACACATACCATGTGAAGACACTGCAGGAAGACAGCCATCTACAAGCCAAGGGAAGAGGCCTCAGAAAAAACCCAACCCTGGTTAGTGACACCTTGATTTCAGACTTCTGGCTTCCAGAAGTATGAAAAAAGAGCTTTCTGTTAAGCTACTTAGTCTATGGCACTTCGTTATGGCAGCCCCAGCAAACGAACGCAAGCAGTAACACGTGTTTAAACAAACTTACTGTTATGAATTCACATAACATACAATTCAAGAGCGAAAGATTCAGTGGCATTTAGTACATTCACAGTATCATGCAACCACCACCTCCGCCTGGTCCCAATGCCTTTCCACTACTCCAAGATAACGCTTGTGCCCATTAAGCAATTTCTCCCTATTCCCCCATAACACACTTTTAGCAAGCCCTTTCTTTATGCCAGGCACTGTACTATGCTTTACATAAATGTACTCATTTACAAAAAAAATTTTTCTTTATTGATTTTAGAGAGAGTGAAAGAGAGTGGGAGAGAGAGAGAGAAACATCAATGAGAGAGAACATCAATTGGCCACTTCCTGCATGCCCCCCACTGGGGATCGGGCCCACAACCTGGGCATGTACCCTGACCAGGACTCAAACTGGCAACCTCTTGGTGCATGGGTTGACACTCAACCACTGAGCCACACTGGCTGGGCTAAATGTACTCTGAATTCTCTCAACAGTCCCAGGAGGCCGACATAATAATAATTATTATTATTATCTCCATTTTACAGATGAGAAATTGGGCCTCAGAAAGGCTAAGTAGTTTGCTCTAGCTGTACAACTGGTGAGACCATTGCAATCGACAAATACTGAGAATCTGCCGAGGATGTGCTGGGTACAGGGCCTGTGCCAAGTGACTAGGCATCCAGACAGTCCTGATTCTGAAGTTGCTTCTCGTCTAGTGGGAAAGATGCAGGTTGAACCATTATAAACTAAGTAAATAATTACAAGACTGCAAAATGGTGGGAAGGAACCCTGTCTGGTTCTGGGGCAGGGATGAGGGAAGTCAGGCCTGCAGGAAGAGGAGGAGCAGCTAGAAGGAGAGTGCAGGCCCAGAGCGGGAATAGTATCCATGTGGGAGGAAAGAGACCAGACTGGCTGGGATGTGGTTACTGAGGGAGAGAATGGCTTCAGACAGGCATGGAGTGCTAGATGGGTCTGTCCCTTTGCAACAACGTTAGAGATTTCAGATTTATTTCTAAGGGCAATAGAGAGCCATGGATGGCTTAACACAATTCACTGAGAGTAAATTTACTGCTCAAACTGTCCCAGGGCATTCTGATTTTCCTGTTTGGGGTAGAGGGTGGGGGCACTTTATTGAGCCCTCCATGTACCGATAACAGATTGTTCTATACCTGTGTGTCCCCACGGTGGACTTGGAGCTCCCAAGGGTCAGGGACACAGGCTTACTCACCTCAGGGCACATAGCACTGGGCCTGGCACTAATCTAACCTGAGTTTTTGTTTGTTGTTGTTAATCCTCACCCAGAGGACATTTTTTCCACTGATTTTTTAGACAGAGTGGAAGGGAGGGAGGAAAGGGAGGAAAAGGAGGAAGGGGAGGAAGGGGAGGGGGGAGAGAGAGGGAGAAAAAAAATCTATGTGAGAAATATCAATTGGTTGCCTCCAGCATGACCCCAACCAGGCTGGGGCTCAAACCTGCAACCCTGGTACATGCCCTTGACTGGGAATTGAACCCACAGCCCTTCTGTCCAAGGGCTGACGCTCTAACCTGAGCCAAACTGGCCAGGGTCTAGCCTGAGCTTTTTTTTTTAACATGAACCAAAATTGAATAGTTTTATTTATTTATTTTTATTTTTTTAATTTTTATTACAGATATTTCTCCCCCCTGCCCATTGACACCCTCCTCCTCCCTCCCCGCCCCGTCCCCAGCTTTGTTGTCCATGTCCACTGGTTATGCGGACATGCATATAAGTTCTGTGGTTGATCTCTTCCCCTAACCTGAGCTTTTTTAAAAAAGGTGCAGGGTCCTGGCCGGTTTGGCTCAACTGTTAGAGCGTCCGCCTGTGGTCCGGAGAGACCCGGGTTCGGTTCCCGCTAAGGGCATGTACCTCAGTTGCAGTTTGTCCCCGGCCCTGGTTGGTCATGCGGGTGGCGGCCACTCGATGTGTCCCTTTCACATCGATGTTTCCCTCTCTCTCTCTCTTCCTCTTTCTCCCTCCCACTCTGCTGTACAAAAAATGGAAAAATGTCCTCGGATGAGGAGAAAAAGAAAAAGAAAAAAGATGCAGGAACTAAAACAACAAAGTGCCTACCCACACCTGAGTGGGAACTCCTGCTTGGAGGATTCAAATCCAGGCTCTACCACTTTTTGTCTTCTGTGACTTTAAATCAGTGACTCCCACCTTTGTGACTTTTGTGTTCCTTGTCTGCAGAATGGGTGTCACCAGAGTACCTACCACAGAGGACTCGTATGAGGGGTCCTTGGAGACCGCAAGTAGGCGCTTGGCACAGCATCCACACCAGAATATCCGTCTGTCGTGCTCACAGCATGCCTTAGAGCAAGGTCAAGCAGAAGCCAAGCAGTTCTGGATTCGAATCGAGGTAGTCACAGGCCTCTGAGCAAGCCTGTTTCTCTCCCTGAACCTCAGTTTCCCCAGCTGTACCTTGGGGAGAATACTAGTGCCTGGGGTTACTCGGGAGGCGACGAGCCCCTGTGCAGGCAGAGCCAGGCTCACGCACGCAAAGGGCCGTGACGATGTGTAGGTCTCCAAGGCCCACAGCCCGGGGATTCTTGCCAAGGCGGTCCCTTGGCTCCGCGGTGGCGCAGCGCTCCCCAGCGGCCGGGCGGAGGGGTGTGGCCACGGGCGTGGGCGGGGCCGCCCTGGCGCCCGCCCCTGGAGGCAGGTGGGCGGGGCCGAATGGGGTTCCCCAAGAGCGCGCGCGCAGCGGGCCCAGGTATTCGGACAAGATGGCGACGGCGGCGGCGGCGGCGGCGGTCGAGAGCGCGATGGAGGTGGTGCCGGCGCCGGCGGACGAGGCCGTGCCCGAGCTGGCGGGCCTCAGCGGCCTGGTCAGCCTGCCGGGCGAGGTGCTGGAGTACATCCTGTGCAGCGGCTCGCTCGCGGCCTCGGACATCAGCCGCGTCGCCAGCACCTGCCGGCGGCTGCGCGAGCTGTGCCAGAGTAGCGGGAAGGTGTGGAAGGAGCAGTTCCGGGGGAGGTGAGTCCGCAGCCCGAGCCGCCGGCGCCCGCCCCTGCGCCCCGGCCGGGCCTGGCTGGCGCCGCCGCCTCCCTCTCCGCACACGCGCGCGGACCCACCCCGGATGCCACCCGGCCCCTTCCCGAGGACCGACAGACAAAGGCCTCCAGGCCGCCGGCCCCTCGGGTCCACGCCGCGCGGACCCTCCGGTGCCCAGCTTGCGCGTCGGGAAGCGCCCAGCAGCCCGGCCCCCACCGGCGATGACGACGGTAGTATCCCCGCTAGTCCGTTCCGCGCGCGTCTTTTGTGCCCGACCCGACTCTGTGCTGAAATGTGGACGCGGATCCCGGGATGCAGTGACCCCGACAGCCCCGAGGAGCGGGCGCAGCATCCCCTGGTTGCTGGCCCAGAGCACCGAGGTTGGCACGAGACCGGGGCTAAGATCTGGCCCTGGCGTACTCGCCGGGTGACCTTGGGGTTGACTTCCCCTTTTTGGAGCCTCATTCATCGACTTTGGTGATCATTAGACCTACCTTGCACCGCGGTTATTAAATGAGAGGATCTGCCCGGAGCTTTTACCCCGGGCCCAACTCTTAGGAGGCGCTCCGTAAACGTGAACTGTCATTGTCATCACCGTTGTTGTTATTGCCACAACTGTCCTCGTTTTATAGATGGGGAGTGGAGACACAGCATACCTTGCTATGCCAAGGTCACACCGCGAGCGAGCGCGTGAGTCCCGGGCGGGGATTTGAACTAGGTCCATCACCAGGGTCCCTCTGACCACTAACCCATACTGCTCTACCTGTTTTCCAAAGCTGCCTTTGATTCCTGTCTGCCTGCCTCTGAGCTCTGGTAAGCTGAGGGGGTTGTTTTTCTCCTTGTAGGTGGCCTTCCCTTATGAAACACTACAGCCCCACGGACTACGTCAATTGGTTGGAGGAATATAAAGTTCGGCAGAAAGCTGGGTTAGAAGCCCGGAAGATTGTAGCCTCCTTCTCAAAGAGGTTCTTTTCAGAGCACGTAAGGATCTGGCGACGTAGCTCTAAGCTTATGCCTGGTAGTGGTGTGTGTGTGTGTGTCTGGCTCTGTAGGCATTAGCTCATCCAGCTTTTTTTGATATCTCCCTTTTCAATGCTCTCACAATCCCTTACTCACTTAGAAGGCTGCAAGAGTCATTGTGTCCTTTTCCTCCTGTCCAACAACATTAAGCCATTTGTCCCTGCCAGCTTTACTTTTCTAAAGCCAGAGAAAGAATGGGGGTGGAGAGGGAGGGAGGACCAGCCAGCCGCACAATGTAGAGGGAATTCAGATCAGCGTTATATCTCTGCAAGTGGGTTAACCGTATATATATATATTTTTGCAAACTCCACATGGTTTGGGGGAATCGTCAAAGATTGAACGCCACAAATTTCACCCAGCTGTTTACGAAATTAATTTCGTCAAAGAGTTGACGAAATTAATACGGTTCTTCTCTCTGGCTTTGTAGGTTCTAACCAGCAGTGAAGTACATAATTTGTTAGGATTAAAAGCTATCTGTAAACCAGAATTATTACTCCCTCAAGTAAATCGCCTTGCATTATCTCTGAAACGCTCTCTTTAAATATTGCTGAAATGCATGTTTTTTTGTTGTTTTCCCTTCCACAAAGTGCTCATAGAATTTTCCGTATCAGGTCCTGATTCTTAACTTTTTGTAACTCTGGAAAACAGTCCACACTAATATTTTAAATTTATTTCTGAGGGTGGGGAGAGCCAACCGGATTTATTTTACTATCCTGGCTTCCTGCAGATTCATTCCTGTTTTTTTAATTTTAATTACCATTACTTAATGGAGTTCATATATTTGAACTGTTTTCCAGGCTCTTCAAGTTTTGGAAGGGAAAGTTCAAATGTTGAACTTTCGACAAGTGTGAACTTATTCTCCTATGGAGAATAAAACTAGATATTCCCTAGTGTAATTCATTTATATAAATAAATGATTGTTAATGTTAGAATGCACAAAATTCATGTTCCATTTTGGGTCAGCTATGCCCTGGCTAAAAGCCTTCAGAAGCACAGATTTTAGGTGCCGGTTTGAAAGTATTTGCACACGGTCGTATTTGGGTGCTAGCTGTGTTTGGTGCACGCGGTCATGGGCTACTAGTTTGCAACCTCTGCTTCTAGTCCAGCTGGTTTTGTGTGCGTGTTTAAGACTGTGCCTTTGTCTAATAATGATGAACTGTTGTGTTTTTTTCCTTAGCTCCCTCTTTCCCTGTACCTCTGCTCAATTAGAAGTATGTCGAGGACTTTGAACATAGCAGGCGTTTACTTGAGATTGATCTGTGGGTGGGTGATTACTTTGGCTCAGGACCCTTGTAGTCCTGTGTTCTCCGCATGCACACAGGTTGACATGGAATTTCCTGGCTACCTTAAAAAAGAAAATTGGGAGAAGTAATATAAATTTAAACTGAGAGGTTTTTTTTCTTTATCCTCACCAGAGGATATATTTTTGCATTTATCTTCAGATAGATAGAGCGGAAGGGAGAGAGGGAGGAAAAGAGAGAGAGCAACATCAACGTGAGAGAGAGCAACATCAACGTGAGAGAGATATATTGACTGGTTGCCAGCTGCACAATCCCAACCGGGCCAGGGAAGAATTGCAACCGAGATACGTGCCCTTAGGGGAAATGGAACCCGAGACTCCCTGGTCTGCGGGCTGACGCTCTAACCGCTGAGCCAAACTGTCCAGGGCTAAACAGGGGTTTTTAAAGCTCATTGGTACCACTGCCTCAATTTACAAAGGAGAAAACATGTCCAGTGGGTTGAGTAGCCCAAAGCTACTTCCCTCTCTCTGACCCTTCCCTCCTAGTTGAGTACAACATAGACTGCATGAAATATAATTACTGCTAGTTCGATTTTGCATTTCTAGTTCTTGTTGCAGAGCTATTTTTCTTCACGAATAGAATTCTTGAATTAATCGGTTTCAGAAATTTCAGTCTATGAAAATACAATTAACTAACAAGATCTGAACAAATTATCATCACTTTGCATGTCAATTTTCCACCCGTGGTAGGTGGTGCAGGATAGTAAGGGATGGCTGTTACCACTTTCATGAAAATGACCATCTTTCTTTGCAACTCAGATTTGTGTATGAGTGTGACAATGACATTAGTACTCGTTATTGAGGCCTGTTTGTATCTGTCTTCTTCATAGGTCCCTTGTAATGGTTTTAGTGACATTGAGAATCTTGAGGGACCAGAGATATTTTTTGAAGATGAACTGGTGTGTATCCTAAATATGGAAGGAAGGTAAGCCATAGATGTACCGGGTATTTTTGTTTGTTTTCATTACAACCCCAGAATTAGTTGCCGTAGCTTTTATGTGGCTAAACCCTGGGACGTGTGTTTCCAAGTATCTCATGTGTTGCTACAGTTACATTTTTTAAATACTCTGTGTATATAAGGTAAGTATACCAAGAGAGTTGATACTGAAAGAAACCGCACAAAAATCCTTTGGTGGGGGGGGGGGAGAATTAGTATATATTCAATCCCACTGCAGGTCAAATACTGTGTTCTGGGCGCTTGTATCTGTTATGTCATTTAGGTAATAGAAACGATCCTTCCTTTGTTATCGCCTGTCCTCCTGCCACAACCGTGTTTGCCAGTTATGTATTTAATATTTATTAAATGTCTTAGGCATATCTGAACTTAATGGTTGATTTTTTTACAATTTTTGAACTTGAGTAAGAAATAATCTTACTTTGGCCATGAACATTATAGATATTTGGTTGAGTCTTTATCTCTCCTGATCAAGAAGAATCCATTTTCTCTTGGTTGTTGCTTAAAAATTTTTATGACTCATATTTTCCACTGTGAGGGTTAATTACCAGTTTGCCTGAAAGGTGACTTGGCTTCCAGCCTAACTTACCTATGAGTTCTGGAAACTTCACTGGTGATGGAAGATAAGAATGTTAGCTTAGCATCTTCCTTAAGAGAGGTCATTGTGCAATATCTCATAAACAAGGCATTAAGATATTTTTCTTACCGTTTTAAAGGGAATTAGGAGAGAAAAATATCTATCAGTGGAACAACTGTGGGGGAGAGGTAAGATGTGTCACTATTCTAGGCCTTGGATGAGTTTAGATCCAGAGGTCATTTTTCCGTTTCTATTTTGGTTTATCTATAAATGAATTGAAGTATGATCTAACAGTCAGTATTGTGCAGCCTTAAAAATAAAAGCTGACCTGTCTTTCTTACATATATATATACACACACATACACACGTACTTTTACATACATACGTGTAATATCATACATACTGAGGTTATTGTTTAGTTTTGATACGCTCTTTAGTGCAGACTTTGTTTTTTTTCTTATTTAGGCCTGTTTTCCCTTCCTCCCTACTCATTTGGACCTTCCCCTGCCCCCACCTCTGTAATTCGTGATGACACTCTGGGTTGTATTCTTCTATGCTAATATGTATCATTATTTCAAAATATTATGATCATAAAATAAGTACTTTTTTACATGTATTTTTTTTCTCATTCAACATTACCTTATTGAAATTGAGCCTAATCAACTGGTAAAAAAATCTAACTCACTTTTCTTAATGGCTGCCTACTGTTTTGTAGTGTATACCATAATGTAACCATCCCCTTGTTGGGGGTCACCACGTTCTTCTTCATGTTTGTGTTACAGTGGAGGGGGTACTGTTTTGGTGGTTTCACTTCTCAGTGAAGATCCCTGAGAGGGCTTTCTCGGTCAGAATATAGAAAGCTGTTGAACAATAATAAAGTAAGAGCAGGCTCTTGAGTGGAAGTCTTACCATCACAAAAGTGTCAATTCTCCCCAAAGTAATACATAAACCTATTGCCATTTCAGTTAGGATTCAACAGGAATTTTGAGGGGGGAGAGTTTCTGTTTGTGTTTTAATTGGATAATGTCACAGAAGAATTCGCAAGAGCCAAAAACCCCCACAATTTTTAAATAATCACAACGAGAAACTTGCATCACTAGATATTAGAATACATTCTAAAGCTGCCTGTAACGAAAACAATATAGTGTCTAAGTAAAAATCAATAGTCACATCCGCGGCAAAGGATAGTTCAGAAACACGTCCCAGTGTAAAGGTGATGTATTTAAACTCAGAGGGGAAAAGGTGGGCTATTTAGTGAATGCTTTTAGACATAACTGACTTTCCATCTGGAAGTAAGTAAAACTTGCATCATATATAAAAACTGAGTTCCAAGATTAAACAACTTAAGTTTTATCAGAATGAAAATCCTTCGAGAAAATAAGAGATTTTGGGTATAATCCAAGGAACTCTTCCTAACTAAGACTAATAATGCAGTAGCAATAAGAATATGGACGGAAGGTTTTGCAGTTTGAAAAATAAACCTCTGTACTTCCAAAGAAACCATTAAGTCAGTAGAATTCTTAAAATTTCCAAGAAGAAATTGAAAAATCGATAGGAGGATGAGCTTTACAGAGGAACAAATCCAAGTGGCCACGATCATGCAAATCACCTTTCAATTCACTCTTTAAAGAGGGGTCAAAGAATAGTGAAATGTTGCCTTTTTACTTATCAGATTAGCAAAAAAGACTGAATATGCACAGCCAGAAAACCCATACATAATTATAGTCCTATTAGAAATAAATATAGATTTGTTACCCCTTGACCCATACATTTTGAGCTTAAAATGAGGTGTTTGGTTTTGTTTGTTTTTTTAATCCTCACCTGAGAACATTTTTGCATTCATCTTCAGATAGAGAGGGAGGAAGAGAGAGAGAGAGAAACATTGATGTGAGAGAAACACATTGAGTGGCTGCCACCCACATGACCCCAACTGGGGCCGGGGACAAACTGCAACCAAGGTACGTGCCCTTAGCGGGAACTGAACCCCCGAGTCTCTCTGGTCTGTGGGCCGATGCTCTAACCACTGAGCAAAACCAGCCCAGGGTTTAAAACAGGGTTTTTAGCCCTAGCCCGGTGGCTCAGTTGGTTGTGTTGTCTCATATACCAAAAGGTTGCAGGTTTGATTCCTTGTCAGGGCACATACCTAGGTTGCTGGTCTGATCCCTGGTCAGGACGCATATGGGAAGCAACCAATTGATGTCTCTCTCATATCGATGTTTCTCTCTCTCCCAATGGAAAAATATCTCGGGTGAGGAGTAACAAACAAAAATGTCAGCCAAAGATTTCTATATCGAGCCATACTGACTTCCAAGTATAAAAGCTGTAGACTAATTTATCAGCTTGCAAGAACTTGGGAAGTTTTGAGCCCTTCCTGAAAAATGTGCTAGACAGTGAACCTTAAACAACCAAATAATTAGAGAGACATTGACATAAGGACTAGTGGTGAACATTAAATATGTATCTACTTAAAAATATATCTATTTACTTGTAGAATTAAATCCAAATGACAGTTGGTAGGGTAGTCAGTACTGGCAATAATCCCTGACAATGTGGATATAATGCAGCTGTTTAAAAAGCTGAGCAGAGAATGGAGGTGAACATAAGCAAAATAATTTAGCTGTTTTTCAGTGATCATCAAGGTGATGAGAGTATTGGTATATTCTGAAGCTGGTGTGTGTGTGTGAGACAGAGATGTGAAATCAAACAGATGAGTATAGTTGACCCTTGAACAACTCGGTTTGGACTTTGCCAATCTGGACCGCTAATACGAAGAGTTCTTTCACTTGACCTTCACAGTTCCATTGACCTGTACGGTTCAAACCCATGTCTCAAGAGTCAACCATCAGTTGAGAATCTGTATTGGAGGGCCAGCTAAGTTAGGCACGGATTTTTGACTCCTCAGGCATTTGGTGCCCTTTACCCCTGTGTTGTTCAGGGAGTCTTATCCAACTAGAGAAGCAGGATTCTTGTGGAAGAAAAAAGAGAGACTGATGTAAAATGGAAGAAGGTAAGAACTGTGTAGCTTTGATCTTGAAATTTCAGCATAAACTCGTGAGATACCTTATATATAAATATATGTGAGGATGTGTGTGTTGTGCGTGTGCACATGTATATACACTATACTTACTACTTCTGTCCACTGAAAAGGTCGAAAACAGTAAACAACCTGATAGAAGTGATCATCCCTAGTACCCAGATTGCATCTTGTTACATACATCATTTCTATTTAGTGAAGCCAGAGGTTTTGGAGAAATGGTTGATTCTAGGTCTAATACAGGAAATGTAAAATATGAGCTGGGATTGTCGGGGAAGCCTGGAACCAGGGAGCAAGAAAAGTACAATATCTCCATCAGGAGTTTTCGGGGGGCATCCTGTGGTAGTAACCAGAATGGATCGAATGAAATACATTAAATAGTTTTAGCTCTGTGCGTTTCTAATAATATTTAACAACTAATTGGTCACCTTTGGAGAACAATAATCCAAATTTTTATTTTGAAAAATGATAAATGAAAGAAATGAGCATTTATCCAGCCTTTCTAATATATTATGACATTGGGGGATCAAAAAGGAGATAAAGGGAAATTATTCTTGATAGAAGTATTTCAGCTAATAAATGAAGAAGGGATGGTTGAATTAGAATATCATCCCCTTTGTAACCTCTGATGAATGAACAGACTTGGCCATTGAGTAGCAGTGGCTGCTGATATCACAGAGGAAGCCAGACACGATTGCTCCTGGTGGAAGAACCTGCTACCGCTTCTGAGGTAGTCAAGTAAATGAAATCCGAATCTGGTCAAGCCTCTACATCTGATTCACAGGAAATTCAGAAGACAGGAACACGTTAAGCTATATGATGCAGTCAGCAAATTCCAGACTCCAGGAAACTGTGGGTCAAACAACCAGGTGTCTTTAGCCAATGAAATGCAAGAGGGAAAACTGTGGAGGGGATCCTGTAGGTTAAGAGACTTAAAAGGCAGGGAAACAGGCGATCTAGAGTGTTGAGGTTTGCCCAGTCGGTGAGACCGAGAGAAGAGCAGGGTGGGGATGACCGCAGGGTGTGAACTGCGCTTGTTCTGGACGGTGGAGGGGAGGGCCCATGAAGGGCTGTGGGGTCTCTGCAGAGTTCTGTTCCTTGGCCTAAGTGATGGGTGCGGGGTGGGGCCTTTCAGTAATTCATTCAGGCAGCATGGGTGGTCCTGTGGGAGATTCCCGCCTGCCATTACAGCGACATGTTTGTTTCAAGTGATTTTCTAGGTGATACATTGTACAGTTCAAAGATTACGGAGCCAGTATCTTCATTTACTCCCCGAAGACTGCGAGTCCTTAGCTTCCCACCACCTCCTACTTCCCATGGCCCCTGTGTATGTTTGGAAGATCTAGTGAAGAATTTCATTGACTCAGCAAGTTTATTGAGAGTCTCCCATGTGCCAGACTCTGCTCTAGGCGCTGGGGATGCAGCAGTGCACGGCACTAATGCCTGCCTTCATGGGACTTACCGTGTGGGCGGGGCTAAAACGTCAGATCTTAGCACACTGGGAAACGAGACATGCTGTCGGGAAGGAGAAACACGCATCGGGGAGAGGGTGAGGGTGCAGTTTTACATAGGGTGGAGGGAGAAGGCCTTCCTCACAGCAGTGGTTGAATCAAACCTGAAAGGAGATGAGGACACAGGTTCCGGGAAGGAACGTTCAGCCGAGGAGCTGAGAGTGCTGAGCACCAGCCAGGCACGAGGACCGGCAGGGAAGTCAGTGTGCCTGGTGACGCCGACGGCGGGGGCAGTGTAGTCATTGAGGTTAGAGAGGTAACAGGGCGAAGTTTAAAGGACCCTTGATGTCATCATCAGGACGTGGGCTTTGCCTTTGAGCAAGGTGGAAAACATTGGAGAATTTGGGGCCTAGAGTGTTTGAGCTGTGGTTTGATGTGTTCACTGGAGCACGCTGGCTACGGTATGAGCCAGGGTTCAGAGCCGGAAGCTCAGTGAGGATGCTCTGTGTACAGACAGAAGACAGTGGTGGCCGAGAGGAGTTGGTGAGGAGTGTTCACATTCCTGATAGAACAACAGCATTGGTGGATGGGTTGAGCAGAGCTAATGAGAGAAAGCCAGGAGTCGAGGATGACTCAAGGTTTGGGGCCTAACTGGCATGATGGAGCTGCCTTCATCTGAGATGAGGTTGACTCCAGGAGGGGAACTTTGAGGGGCTCCCCAGGTCCCCAGGTGGGGACGTAGAATAGCAGTTGGATATATAGGTCTGGAGGGCAGGGAAGAAATCTGTTCTGGAAAATAAACTGGGGGCTGTCCGAGTGGATACTGTTTGAAACCCGGAGATGGGTGAGATCACCTTGGCCGAACCAGGAGAGCAGCAGCCCAAGGCCCAAGTTCCCTCTGCCGGGCGCACAGGGGCCAGCAGGGGATTCCAGACACCTCAGCCCTCCCTCCCGACACCCACCCAGCTCCCCTCTTTTCAGGTTTCTTTTTCATCTCCCTTTAGTAACTCCGAAAACGGATAACTTTCTTGAATTTCAGCCACGATTAATTCAGTGTTGTATTACAAATGCACAGTTAAATCGTGTTGCCTGCTTCCATGGCAGGAAGCGCTGTGATCACGAACTAGCTTCAGCCGTCTTGTTAAGTAGACTCTACATAGCATGATTAGTGTGAAGTACAAAATCAATCGCTGACAGTTTCATATCTTAATCCTTATCGACTTAGAGTTTGTTTGTTTTTCTCAGGAAAGCTTTGACCTGGAAGTACTATGCCAAAAAAATCCTTTACTACCTACGACAACAGAAAATTTTAAACAATCTTAAGGCTTTTCTTCAGCACTCGGATGACTATGAGTCGTATCTCGAAGGTGAGTGAGGCTCCAGCAGTGCGGCTTCAGCGGCCAGCTGCGGCGCCTCGGAGCAGGAGTGGACACTCGGGGGACACGCAGGGGGAGGGGCAGCTGTGCCGCTGGGGCTTCTGGGGCTGGAGTGTGGGGGCTGGTCACTTAGGGCAAGGCTGCTCAGTGCAGAGCTAACATTCTGTCCGAGCCTTTAGCCCTCGGCTGAAGAGACAGCTTTTTCTAAGGTGCACCAGGGGTTCAGAGCATGAGAGGCTGATACTCTGGCTAATAAGATTGAGTCCCTCTTTTCTTAAGCTTTGAAGCATCACTTTCAAATCAGAAATCAGTTGGTCCGCTTCTGTCTCCATGTGACCTGGAGCAGGTCCTTTCCCCTCTGGTTAGAGTTTAATGAGGACAGGGTGTCCCTGCGCGCTGGTGAGCCGGCCCGGCCCCCATGAGAAGTGAGGAGAACGAGTCGAGTGGACGGGAGCGGGGAAGGCAGTAACTTTCTGTTCCTGTCGAGTTGAACGAGAACAAAATGTGACTTCAGTTTTTTTCAAATGATGTTGAATTCCTAGCGCATTATGCAAACACTCCCAGAAGCTATGGTTATGAAATGCATACATTCCGCATTCCCAGAAGTTTGCTGTTTGTTTTCTCCGGTCCAGTGTCTCAGTCACGTCTCCATTCTCCCCGGCCCTCGTGCCAGCTCTCACCACCCCGCCAGCGGTAGCTTTCTCAGTAGCACCTGCTTTCGGGAGCATTGCCCCTTTGCCCTCGTCAGCCAGCGCCCCCGCAGACCAGTGTGAAGCCAGCGTTCCCCACGCCATGAGCAGCTCCCTTCCTGTTTCTCGCTCAGTCTCGGCCTGCTTGTCATTGCCCTCCCTGTCCAGGCCTCCCCTGCTCCACGCTCTCCAGGGTGTCCCATTTGCTCCAGCCAGGCCGTTGTCCTCACTGGCAGCCTGCAGCACACCTGACTTCACATCCTCACGCATGGGACTACCCCCTTCCTTCGAATTCCTTCTTAAATCCGGCTTACCCTCCAAGCGTTCAGTTCGGGTTTCACTCCGGTGCAGGTTCTCTGGCCACCGCCACCATTTTCACTCGCCTCGGAAGTGATGGGGAGCTGGCTGCTGCCCCGCCACACCACTTGTCTGTGTGCGCACGCCGCTCACGCACTCGCTGACCCGTGTTCCTTGTCCTTTGCTGTGATCACTACTCCACAGCGCCTAGTACAGACTCTGGGTTGGGTGAACGTCTTCTGTCATCCAGAACGAAGTGAAGAGTCAGTTGCAGTTCACTGAAAGATCCTCACCGCCCTGGAATCTTCTCGCACATGCTGACATTGAGTCGTCCTGCCTGGTTTATTCCCCAGTCAGGAATGATTGAACAAGCTTTAGTTTCCATAGCTCACTTAGGAAAGTGATTCCTTCTTTTTCATCTCTCAATTATGAAGTAACATCACCATTGCCAAGTCAGATCCAGATCAGTGCTATAGGCACTGGGTAGCCATCGGAGGTTGTAAGTAGTTGAGTGAATGGAAGTGGGCTCAGGGACCTGGTCCTTGTTGATTAGCTAGCTGATCTGATGCCGTGGACACAGCCTAGGAATCGGAACATGAGGTTGGAATGGACTTGGAGGTGCAGACATCCCTTCCACGTGCAGGCGGAGACACTCAGTCCCAAGGAGGCCCAGGAACCCAGCCCCGGCTAGTGGCAAAGCTGGGACTGGGGACCAGCTTCTTGACACCCATTCACCTGCTCTCAGCTCCTTAGGGTATGGTTCAGGGGTCAAGATTCTGAGCTGGTTTGAGGCTGCTTAAATTTACAGTGACTCTCAGGCTCCTCACCTCAAAGTGTTCTGCAGCCCATGATCATGGTAGCCCACTGGTCTCTGGTTAAAATGACCGAAGGCAGTGAAGAGGGGACTTCAGGGACAGTCTGCAGTGTGCTTTGTGAAGCTTCTCAGCCTCAAGTCCCTGAGTGTCACTGAGTTTGGGAGTATGGTTGTGTCGACAGGTAGTTTGTTGAAATGGCACATCTATCGGTGAGAGTTTGCAACTTATTTTTTTGTTGTTGTTAGAGAGCTGTCTTACAACATTAAGCTCTCAGAGTTGTTGGGTTTTAAACTGTAAGGGAATTAGAGGAAGAGAGAAGTTGCTTGAAACATCTTTATAGCATTTTTTATAATAGAATATGGAAATATATATTACACAGGTTTTTTGTCTTGTTTTTAAATCCTCACCTGAGGATATTTTCCATTGAACTTCAGATAGAGTGGGAGGATAGAAGGGAGGGAGGGAGGGAGAGAGAGAGAAAGAAAGAAAGAAACACCGATGAGAGAGACACATCGATTGGTTGCCTCCTGTACGAACATGCAGGCTTACACTGGGCCAAACTGGCTCACACAGGTTTTTGAGTCCATGACCTCTGAGAGAGGTTTGGTTTATTCAAAACAAAACAAAACAAAACAAAACAAAAACAGCAGCAGCATAATGTGTAAGCTTCTTTGTTGTGAAAATGTTTCTTGCTCCTTCTCATGCCTTAGCAGCTAGGCCTGCATGCGAGATTCGACGCTTATCTGGTGGGATGTTGGCAGGAGCTGTGGCCCCAGGCATCTGGGTGAATGACAAGCTAACAAGGAAAGGGTAAGAACGGGAATTTATTTGGTCGTACTCGTTCATGTACAGGTGCTGTGTTTATCGACCAGTACTGCAACCCCCTCTCGGAAATCACCCTCGCAGACATCCAGACGCAGATCGGCAGCATTGCGGAGCTGGTGCGCAAGACCCTCCGCGGCATCAACAGCCGCCACCCCAGCTTGACCTTCAGGGCAGGTGTGGACTCACTCTGATATGCTCGTGTGCACAAGGACACCCAGAGCAATCGGTGACTGGGAAGTTCTGCAGTGTGTTCCCCATTATGTCCCCAAAAAGCGATGTGCTCACCTGGACCACATAAAACACTTTAAATACATGTTTTGTTTCTTTTTTTTTTTTTTTATTCTCATCAAAGGACATTTTTGCATTTATCTTGAGATAGAGCGGGAGGGGGAGAGGGAGGGAGAGAGAGAGAAACATCGATGTGAGAGAGACACATCCATGTGAGAGACACATCAAGTGGTCACCACCCACACGACCCCGACTGGGGCCAGGGACAAACTGCAACCGAGGTACATGCCCTTAGCAGGAACCAAAGTTGGGTCTCTCTGGGCCGATGCTCTAACTGCTGAGCCAAACCAGCAGGGCAGTACATGGTTTCTTCTTCACCCTGCATTGGTAACTCCTAACGGACAGTGTTGGCACCTGGCCAGTGTCTGCATATAACAGGTTGTTGGAGACGTTTTATGCTGTGTCCTTAGAGTACATCTCTGTGTTTCAGGCGAATCTTCCATGATAATGGAGATCGAACTCCAGAGCCAGGTGCTGGATGCCATGAACTATGTCCTGTATGACCAGCTGAAGTTCAAGGGGAACCGAATGGATTACTATAATGCCCTAAACTTATATATGCACCAGGTAAGCATGGGTCTATTAAAAAGTAATAATTAGGCTCATCTCTGATCAGTTGGACAGTTTTTGAGGGTAAGTGCTATATCTTTTTCATCACTCAATGCTTATAAAACTCATTTTTTTCCTCTACTATAAGGATATCACTGCTGATTTTTTGTTTCATCACAAAGTATTCTCTGTCTGAAAACCTTTGAGACGAATTCCTGGCTAGAAGGAGGTGTTTCTGTGACTCAGTCACATCTTGTGAACGCAAAGCTGTGAAACTACTCCAGCCTTTCATTTGCCCTGGCCTGCGGGAAGGTTAGGGGGAGTCTGGGCAGCTGCGTCATGGATGCTTCTTGACTTGCGTCCTCCTTGGCTCCCCTTTCATATCTGTTCTGTTGCTCTCCATGCTGCTTGAATTTTCTTTTTTTATGTCTTGCACCCTTTCGTCAACGTGTCGTCCTTAAATTCCTTCTGGAAGAAGGAGGGCTTAAGTCACAGGTCTTAAAACTTGTGCTGTGAAGGGCCAGACGGAGCTGCTTTGAGTCTTCAGGCCACGTGCTCTTGTCCTGCCTGCTGGGTTCTGCCACTGCAGCCAGGAAGGAGGCACAGGCAGTACAAAAGCAAATGACTGTTGCTGTGTTCTGATAAAACTTTATATATACGTGTGGCAATTGGAATGTCATATAATTTTCATGGGTCACAAAATAGTCTTTTTCTTACTTTTTCTCAAACCTTAAAAACTGTCCGGCCAGTGTGGCTTAGTGGTTGAGCGTCAACTCATGCACCACGAGGTCACTAGTTCAGTTCCTGGTCAGGGCACATGCCCACTTTGCGGGCCCGATCTCCCCTTGGGGGCATGCAGGAGGCAGCCGATTGATGTTCTCTCATTGATGTTTCTCTCTCCCTTTCCCTCTCTCTCTAAAACCAATAAAGAAAAAAATTTTTTTTAAAAAAAGAAAGAAAACCATTAGAACTCTTCTCACAGACCATACAAAAACAGGTGGTGGGCCACATTTGGTCTGTGGACTACAGTTTGCAGACCGTGGTCTCAATAAGTAACGTACTCATCCATTTAAGCCTCAGAAGCCTCATGCCTGGTATACAGTAGGTGCCTAATAAAAGTGTGTATTGAAGTTATGAGAACATGCGGTTCATTTCTAGTGCGCTAAAGCCTGTTTTTCTCCTTTAGGTTTTGATCCGAAGAACAGGGATCCCAATCAGCATGTCTCTGCTCTACATGACAGTTGCCCGGCAGTTGGGGGTTCCTCTGGAACCTGTGAACTTCCCAAGTCACTTCTTACTGAGGTGGTGCCAAAGCGCAGAAGGGTGAGCCACCCGTGACACGGTGTGATGGGTCCTAAGGACTCATCCCCACGGGGCCGAGGAAATGTCACGAAATAGGGTGGGAGAGGACTAGGGTGTCCGTGTCAGTAATCTGGGGGGAAGGGCACTCAGTCTTTCTGGATTTGTTCTTACAACTGCATGTGAATGCACACTTATCTCAAAGTAAGAAGTTTAACTTTAAAGAATAAGACTAGGGGTTAAGGGCTTATGTGGATCTCAGAGTCTCTCTGTTCCAAAGCAGAGCAGATCACAGAGTTCGTAAAGAAATGTCCTTCCCAGTGCTCCGTGCAACCTCCCCTCACTCCCTGCACACAGGAGGGGGAGAGAGAACAGATGAGCAGACTTCATCGACGTGAAAGCACGGTCGGTGTCCTGGTGTTCTCATCTCTGGTGTTCTCATCTCGGCTCGCTCCTGTCGGGCCGGCTGGGGAGGAGCCGCACTGTGGGGACCAGGTGGAGAGTCTCTGCCCGCTCTCTGAAACCTGGTGCTCTGTTGGGCTGAAGTCCTCCTCAGCTACAGTCTAACTTTTCCTCAAGAAATAGTTCATCAGATAAGTAGAATATCTTCTCATTAAATGTGCCACTTAGAGGAAAAAGAAGCAAAGTTATTTCATCACATCTTGTTCTTTGAAACTACTTCCAAATGACCACTGTGACATCCTTTGGTGAAGTGACGAGCAGTATCATAGAAAGTGCCTGAGATTTGAGGTCAGACGGGTTCATACCTTGGCGTCCTCTGAGCCTCAGTGGTTCAGTGGGAGGGGACGGCAGTTCACGAGGTGGCTCGGAGGGTAAGGGGCGCCGGTGCTGGCACGCCTAGCGGTTTCGGACGCTTACGTAGAAAGGAAGTGTGAGTGGTGTCTGTTCTCCCTCCGAGTCCAAGAAAGAAAACGTGTAGTGGAGCTTCCTGGGAATTCCTCCTTCTCCCGGTCTCCTTCCTCTCCTCTGCAGAGGGAACCCCAGTTAGTCTGAAAGCATTTGTTCCTTTCATGCAAATTTTTATAGTTTCTTACATATGGACTTTTCCTTAAATAATAGGTAGTTTTCCCTTTTTTCCCCCCAAATGTAATCTGTTCCTAAAAATGTATGCAATGATTTCTTTTTTGGATAGCAGGCACCCATTTTCCATTATTTGTGCAAAAAATGGTTTTTTTTTATCAGCCCACTTCTGTTTCCCAAATAACCCAACCAGTTTCCCCAAATATCTCTAAAATATTATTAAATGCCTATGTAATAATCTATCACGGTGTCTGCATAATATAAAACATTTAGAACACCGCACGGCCGGGATGGCTCACTGGCTGAGAGTCGACCCAGGCACCAAGAGGTCGCTGGTCAGGGCACATGCCCAGGTTGTGGGCCCCATCCCTAGTGGGGAGCATGGAGGAGGCGGCCAATCGATGTTCTCTTATTGATGTTTCTGTCTCTCCCTCTCCCTTCCTCGCTCTAAATCAATAAAGAAAACAAAATTTAATAACCAACAAAAAAACACCACTGACCATATCATTTACCACAGTAACTTACTCCTGGGTACAGTTGTGGTCGCAGTGTTGTTTTTCCTCCATAGGCTACCATGAACAGTGCACAGGAGCAATGAAATGATTTGTTAGCACCCCAGTTCCCCACCAGAAACAAACACTGGGCCCCATCCAGGGCTGGGCCGGGCCCTCGGGAAGGCGGAAAGAGTGGGCGAGTGCAGGCCTCTCACCAGCAGCTGGACAGTGGCCCTTCCTCTGCACCCTCCTTGCTCACTGGTGTCTGCACCGAGACTGTGGTTTGCTCGCTGTACCGCTATTGTTAGTTCCAGCCCCTGGTCGGTGAGGCTCCCATCGAGTTCTTCCAATTGCCTTGGCTGTTCTGAGCCTTTTGCTCTAACACTAATTTAGAATCAGTTCATCGGGTTTTTCAAACCCCCATGTGGATATTGATTGGCACCAGTGCTTGCTTGGATTGGATCCATCGGTTAACGTGAGGAATATTGCCAGTGTTCCAATCTGAGTCAAAGGAAGGCTGTTAATAGGATTCAAGGAAGAAATCTGAAACAGTTGCTCAAGGAAAAAAATACAACTGTCCTTGAAACAAAGACTCACCTAGATGTCCCGGAGCCCTCGTAGAGCCCCCATGCAGTGCCTGCCTCCCACACTCTGCCCGCTGGGCCCCCGCGTGCAGGAGTGGGTCATGGAGCAGTTCCATGGGAGGGCTCCGCAGGTCTGCCCCCCTGAGTGCAGAGCTGAGGCTGAACGCTGGGGCCGGGGACCGCAACTCAGCATAGCCTCACGGGGCCCAAGGTCCACAGACATGCACTACTTCTGATCTGTATGTGGGAGCAGTCGGACTTCTGGTAGGTATTCCCGGCAATGAGTTTTGGGATTAATCTGCCTGAAAAACTGTATTAAATGGCAAACATCAGTACTCGTCTTAAATATCAGTGTCCTGCGGTCTTAACAGCACGTCTGAAAGGGTCAGATTTTCAACTTTGGACAAGGCCTTGTTGTTGTAAGTAGACGTGCTACTGTGTTAACAGTCGGTGTCTGATGCGGGCTACTTGTTGGGGGGGTTCTGTGTTGCCTTGCTCAGCTCTGGTCTGAGGCCTGGCGTGCTCCATGTGTGCACAGGGCCAACCTGGACATCTTTGACTACATCTACATCGACGCCTTTGGGAAAGGCAGGCAGCTGACGGTGAAAGAGTGCGAGTACCTGATTGGCCAGCACGTGACTGCAGCGCTGTACGGGGTGGTCAACGTGAAGAAGGTGCTGCAGCGCATGGTGGGGAACCTGTTAAGCCTGGGCAAGCGGTAAGGTTTTCTTGGTTTTCCAGTACTTCTGCGGAGTGCATGTCTTCGAAGGCTCGCGTGGCCTAACAGACTTCCCTTTAAGGAGCCTCCCTGTGACACCGAGAGCAGGGGTGAGGTGCGGCACCGTTGGGCTATCTAGACAAAAGCGGGTTTCCGTGACATACTGCTGTCTAGAGCTAAGACGTGCTAAGTGAGATGTCTTTGTGATCGCTGCAGTGGACTTGGGCTGCTGCTCTTGGTAAATGCCGAGAGCATCTCTCAGTAACAAGACTCTCAGGCTGGCAAAGATTCTCTCTCAGAAGCAGGATATTCTCATGTCCAAGTGCTCTGTCACCTTGTAATTTATACCTTGCTATTACTTAGGTAAGAAAGCAAACAAAAGTGACACTAACTTGCTTCTGAATCCAGGGGAATTTGTCTCACTGAGGAAGTAGGAAGTTGTACATTGTAGCAATCGTTTCTCTGCCCTGGCAGAATTCTTTTTTAAAAAAAACAGACTTTATTTTTAGAGCACTTTTTGGTTCCCAGCACAACTGAGCAGAAAGTACAGAGATTCCCATAGACGCTGCCTCCACACAGCCCTCCCCAGTCCGCAGCCAGCACCCAAGCGGTGCATTCGTCACCATCGATGCGTCTGCACTGACACAGCTGAGCACCCAGAGGCCAGAGTTACAGTCATACGTTCAGGTTCACTCCCGCTGTTGTATGTTCTACAGATTTTAAGACATTTAATGACGTGTGTACCGTTACAGTATCACAGGGCAGTTTCTGCCCTGAGAGTCTTCTCCCCTTATTCAGAATTCATTCTTAATTATGTACAGTGCTACAGAGGGAACTTCATAATGGAAACACAATTTTAGTTTAGTGCCCGGCACCAAAGTGGGGTGCAAAAGTTTATATTTCTTGTCTGCATGTTTTTTATTAAGGCCACTGTAACTGCTGAACAGAGAGGAAGTATCAGAATCAGAAAATGTATGGGATTTGTGTCAATTTTTTCTAAAACCTGAGCCTTGCAAAATAGTGTCTTAGAAGCACGCAGGGCAAGATGTTTCTCTCCCCTATAGGGAAGGCATCGACCAGTCCTACCAGCTCCTGCGGGACTCCTTGGACCTGTACCTGGCGATGTACCCGGACCAGGTGCAGCTTCTCCTCCTTCAGGCCAGGCTCTACTTCCACCTGGGAATCTGGCCAGAGAAGGTAATTATTTGAGTTTGATACTTTGCACTTTTCTTAGAGAGGGAACTCATCTTGAAAGGCGGCTCTTAACAGGTTTATCCTTATGTTAACATGGGAGATAAACCGTATCTGTTCCAAGTCTCCCAGTCTTGACCCATCATTCAATTCTTTTTGTTTGTTTGGTCTTCTTCTATTCTGATAAAGAAACTGGTCATACTCCTAGGAAAGTTGCCCATTCTCTTTGTGGTCAAGATGCCCAGAACCACGGGGCCTCTGCCCTGCCACTCACCTCCCATTGCCCCTAAGCCGTATTTTCCCCAAGTCACCTGACTCAGCAAGGGGAGGCGAACCTGAAATGCTCAGCCTCCAGGTGTGCTGTCAGTAATTAAATCGACCAGACACAAACACCCCTGTGTGAGAGAGGGAAGTTAATTCTAGACGTGTGCACGTCCAGCGACTGGGCTAGTTCAGGACCATTTGTGCCTTTGAAAACTGCTGAAATTGATTCTGTTGCCCGGGAGTTCTGAGTCTTGCCGCGGCCCCGTGGCCCACGCACGCACTTGCAGATGGCTGCAGCACCGAGGTTGGGAGCGCTTCTCAGCGGGCTGTGGGCGGCAGATGTTCAAGGCCAGCTGTGGGTCTGGAGCAGGAGCAGCTGCACGCTTGCATCACATCCTTGCTTTTCCAGGAGATAAGAGAATAATCCGTGTTGTTTGTCTAGAGCCGTCTGGTGAGAGCACTAAACTCTGAGCTCTCACAGAGACATCAGCATGAAGTCATCTGCCCGTGCTTTAGAGAGGTGCATATCTTTCCTTGAGAACATAAATTGTCTACATGACTTGACTTTGCTTAGATTTAAATTGTCTCAGTTACTCACAACTTCAAAGACCTGAAATATTTCTGAGAAAGGACACATCCGTACGAAAATCTCTAGGCTCCTATCTTAAGAAAATACGTCATCTGTGGCTCAGGGAGCAAAGGCATGTGATCTGGTTGAAGAGTTACAGGAACTCTAGACTCTGCCAGTTATTACCCACTTCCCAGAACCTAAATAAATCCTGTTGTCCAAGATTTAATAGGTTAGTTTATCTTTTCATTTTATTTATTTTTTAACTCTAGGATATATATATACATATAATTCCTGTCACTTTATACTGTAGATTAGTTAAGGAATTTCATGATAATTTATAAAATGTAGAGATCCTTTCTAGGCAAGCCTTTTCACAAATAAATCCTATACTTAAGTTACATGTCAGCCTCCGCAGGGATGAGGCTCCCGTCTCCTTCGTGGGGGAGAGTCTGCAGAAGCTCTGGCGACTGGCTCAGCCCATGCTCACATGCTGCTTTCTGGGGAATTGCCTCGGTGTCCTCGGGGTGACCAGGACGGCCTCCCTGCCAAGGAAGTGTCACTAAAACAAGTTCCAGATTCGTTACACGCAGAACATTTGTCCTCATGGTGGCCATTCATTTGCTGCTGGCCTAGGCGCTGCTCCCATTCCGAGATCAGGAATGAAAAGTGGCTCATTCCCAATGACTGGAGACTCCTCCTTCATAAACACATGCTCTAGCCAGGAACCAACACCCGAGACAGGGAAGGCACCCTGTGGGGCTCCCCAGAGGAAGGATAGGGAGAGCTGAGGTGGTCAGAATGTGCTCCTCTCTGAAGGGAGGGTTCGAGGTGGACGTGGAAGGATGGGCAGCCACTTCAGAAGGCAGAAAAGTAGGTCAGTGCAGTGGGGTCGGTGTGCGTATGGCACAGAGGTGGAGATCTCAGTGTGTGCGAGGAGGTTGGCTTCGCAGGGGTCCTGATACGTGTCCGTGTGCGTGTGTGTGTGCACGTCCAGGTATGCAGAGTACTGTTTGGGGCGTGAGACCCGTTTGTGGAGGGCTTGGAATCTGCTTGACCTTATTAAATGAAAGGGAAACATTCCTAAGCTGGAAAACCAGAAGGTCAGCTTGTTTTCAATTGAATTAACCCAGGAAGAGCAGAACAGGTCCTCTCGGTCACTATCGTAGTAATCCAGGGTCGCTGTGGCTGTGATGGAGATGGAGAGTGGAGGATGGTCAGCTTTGAAAGCCACTAACACACATCTCAACCCTGTGAGGTGTGCTTGTCTTTCTTTTTGCCATTTTACAAATAATAAAACAGGCCCTGAGAAGTGGGGAACTTGCTGAGTCTCCTGCACAGCACGGTGGCTCCCGAGCCTTCACCCCTGGGATGGGGGGCTGGGCGAGACTGTTTCCAAAGAAGCGCACAGACCTGCGTCCCTGCTTTGCTCTCTCGTCATCTCGCTCCTGTGTCTACTTTCCGGTGGGAAGATGTCCCTCTGTCTTCTAAGGCACGCCTGCCAAGCTCTGGACCCAGCTCTCCTGCCTTTTCTTGGATTGCTGTTTCCCTTTATGCTAAGTTTCCCTTTATGCTAATTTTTCCTTTATGCTAAGTTTCCCTTTACGCTCTTACATCTTCAATTCCCTGTTACTCTGATCTCCTGTCAGCATTAACCATACTCAAATCTCTCTCATCTTTGGAAAAACAGGAACAAAACAGCACCCCACGACAGCCCTGCTGGCATTGTCCTTCAGCATATCTCCTTATCTCCTCCCCGGCACAGCTAAGACCTGGTAGCTCCGGCCACCTGCCTCGCCTCCCACGCACTCCTCGGAACGCGGGGATCTGTCCCGCCCCTCCGCCTCGGGAACCGGCTTGCCAACGAAGCCAGTGACCCCTTTTTGATAAATCTTGTTTTTCCCTGCCTAATCTAACAGATACTTGTTCCCCTTATCTTTCTTGATCTATGGGGCCACTCTGCTTGGCACGCTCTGTTCCTTCGACTCTGTGGCTGTTGGTTCTCAGGGTCTTGCTGGTTCCTTGTCCTGTGGTCGTTCCTAGACGTTTTCACTCTGCCCCTTTCCGTCAGTGATCTCCTCCGTTCTCCTTCTTCAGTCCCACCTGGAGGCTGAGGCTCCCCGGTCTGGTCCTGCCTGGACCCTGAGCTCCAGACCAGCACACCCTGATGTCCCTTCCACATCTGCACCTGGCTGTCTCCCAGATTTTCATGCCGGCCTCCCACATGCTCTCCTCCCCTTAGACCCCGGAGCCTGTTTTATACACTGTAGCCAGAGTAATCTTAACATGTCCGTTATGTCTCTCAGGCTCACTCTCTTCATTGTGGCCTCTGCTCCTCACGGGGGCTGTCCCCTTGCTCTCAGCACAGTTCTGCCACGTGGCAGGTGCCCAGAAGTTTTTACTTGAATGAATTAGAAGTGACGGATCTTCATTAGCTGTGAGTAAGGGAGGAGGCTCAAAGAGGATGTCCAGATTTCCCAACAACTGTTGGCCACATGAAAAGTGGGTGTTAGGAGAACAGGCGTGTTTCGTGGTGTGGGAGGGGGTTCAGCTTGGTGTTTGTTGAATACAGGGAGCCAAGTGCCCCTGTCCTAGGGCATTGGGCAGGGCCTGGGGGCTGGCAGGGGAAGCCCCAAATGTAGGGCATTAAAGGGTGATTCCAAGAGCCTCAGAGAGCGCCTCGGGGAACCTGCAGTTAAAGGGCCGGGGCAGCAGACTGCAGCCTGCAGGCCCCAAGCAGTCTGGTCTCATGAATACATTTTATTCGCCCTCCACCCCGCCCCTGCTTACTTGTCTCTGGCCCCTTTCCAGCGAGGGGAGAAGTTGAGTCAGACTGAAGGGCCCCAAAGCCCAAAACACTTACTCTCTGGCCCTTTATATAAAACATTTGACAATCAAGAGTGATAGACCCCCTCTTCCAAAATCTCTACTCCAAAGCTGTTGAGTCGGGATTCTAAGCCTAGACATTGATTTGGACACAGCAGGGTCCCCAGCTGTCAGCACTGTCCTTCGGGACGAAAAAGGCCCAGGTCACCTTCGCCTCTCTTCCCTTTCACCCTCTCGTCTGCATGTCAGGGAAGGCGGGGGCTTGTCCCGACCTCTCCTGATGCTCTTGAGTTCCAGGTCCTTTGTGCAGTGAAGATCCCAGACTGGCCAGTTTCCCTGCTGGGGGTGCGCTGTGGGGAAAGCAGGGGGGCTATGTCTAGAATGTACCAGAAGTCCAGTCAGCAGAACTGGCTGGAACTGCAGAAGGGACCACAAGGAGGGCATTGCACACGCCCAGCACATAGAAGCTCACTGTTAAATCCCGTGCTGTTTGCCACAAAAGATAAAGGTTGTGAGTGTCTCCCAAGTTACAAGTCCTCTTGGAAGAGGGGCCAGGGGATGGGCTCTCAGCTGACAGTGATTGAAGCTGGGTTTGAGATGCATGAGTCATACCACTGCCCATTTCTATGTGTTTGAGAATTTTCATAACAGTTCTTTAAAATCTCCTGCTCCTGCTTTGGTGTGGGGTGACTAGGGCTCAGATTAGCCCAGGTCTCCTCACTCCAGGTCTGCACAGCCTGTGACCTCAGGCACGGTACCTGCCTCCACTAAGCCTGATTCCGCTTCTGGTATGGCTGTTGCTGGCCTTCACGGTGGGGGGATTACATGAAATTTAAAAAGTGACAGTCTTGGCACAGTGACCAGTGAAAAATAGGTTTAGTCAATATTGAGACCCGCAAATCTCAGTCTGGAAGGAGAGGTTGGGTATTGCATAAAACGGTAGTTTTCACAACACTGACAGGTTCAAAATATATCAGGAAACAAGGCCTTTATTAATTATCACTTGATAGGAGAATAAACAAATTCAAAGGTAAAAACAAGTTTGACAGACCTGGGACTAGGATCCGGGTTGCTTTGTCTCAGGACTCAGTAACTAGGGAAAGATCCTGTTTACAACAGAGAAACATGTCCGAGACCCTCTGCTAAGGGCTGTGTGTGTGTGTGTTTGCCCCTGTGTGAGTAGTAACTGTATCAGAATTTGTATTTTTTTCTGAGGCGCCAGGACAGTAGCAAGAATGTAACCTTGAGTTCTCTTCTGCCAGCTAATCATTTAACCCCATGTGCACGTGGCTTCTTCCTGTCCACCTGAACACGAAACCCACTGCGAGTTAGAGTAATGGCAGTGACTGGCAGGATCCAGACCCTGGTGCCATCTCTCTCCCTTAGGTGCCACAGCGAAACTGATGGCATCCGTTCAGTGTCCTCTCTGTGGCCCCTCTGTCTCCATGGTACTGAGGCGGCTCTGGTTGGAACATCGTCCCAGTGCGCTAGTGCATGGATGGATGGACAGAGGGTCAATGTCTGTCTGTCTCTCCTTCCTCTCTCTCAAATCAACCAGTAATTTTTTAAAAAAAAGTGAAGCCCAGCCCTGGCCGGTTTGGCTCAGAGGTTGAGGGTCAGCCTGCAGATGAGGTTGGGGTCATGCAGAAGGCAGCCAATCGATTTTCTCTCTCCTCTTGAAAAAATGTTGAGAATGGAGGCGCACGCTGACCTAGACTGTAAGACCCTTTGCGAGCTCACCTTGTCATGGTGTGCCTGTCAGTGGCAGGTCCTCCTTGCCCCTCCCTGGCTGATTGCAGCCGCCGGGCTTCTGAGCGCTCCCTGATGTTCACGCCGGTGGATCGGGGTGCCTGGGGCCGGCGCCCCACGGCGGCAGAGTGCGCCCGCCCGCCGCAGCTTGCGGGGCACTGACGGGGCACATCTGTCTCGGGCCTGGGCCGTCACAGGGCCCCGCCTTGCCGTCCTTTCTTAGTTAGGTAGGGACAATCCAGTGCAGCGACACGGAAAAGACCTTAATAAAAATATTATCACCTAGTCTTTCTGTCTTGTCTTAAAGGTGCTTGACATCCTCCAGCACATTCAAACCCTAGACCCCGGGCAGCACGGGGCTGTGGGTTATCTGGTGCAGCACACGCTCGAGCACATTGAGCGCAAGAAGGAGGACGTGGGAGTGGAGGTGAAGCTCCGTTCCCACGAGAAGCACAGGGATGTCTGCTACTCCATCGGGCTCATTATGAAGCATAAGAGGTGAGTGCCCGGGGCGCCGCCCCACGCGTGGCTGCGGAAGACACCGGGGCCTGTGAGCAGCGGCAGGACTCGCTCCAAGGGACCCGACTCCAAGCAGCGACTGCCTCAGTCCCAGCACAGGAGGCCTGAAGCGGAACCGAACCGCTGAGCATTCTGTGTTTAGGAAGGGACTCGCTTTCCTGGCTGGAGGTCTTCCGTCTAGGGACCTTCCGCTGTCCGACCTCCTCTTTGTGGGAGAAGGGAGGCAGCTGTGCGTGCAGTTCTTCCTGTCTTCCTGTCCTCAGTCTCTCCCTCCCTGTTCCAGTTGTGAGCGGGGTCCTGGGTCTCGGGTGTGCTCGGGGTCCACTTGCCAGACAAGATTAAACTGTCCAAGGTGACTGCCGGTCTGCCGGCTGGGAGCTGGGAGTCCTGTTCTGCCAACATGTTACTGCCAGACCTCTGACACTGCTCTGAGGAGGTAGCTGGCAAAGGGCACTCATGGTGGTTTTAGTTTGCATTTCCCTGACATGCACAGAGTGAGTTTGTTTTCACAGTTCCCTGGCTTCACGTTTCCTTTCATTAATGCCCATCAAGTGTTTTGCTTCTGATTTGTAGTCTGTCTTTTTCTGTATACTTAGTCTCTGTGTGTGCATAGGGTCCAAATATCTTTTCCAGGTTTTGGTTAGTGTTTTCGATCCTTTATTGCATTCTATTTTTGTTTTGTTTGTTTTTTTACTTTATTATTTTGGAAATTTCAAGCATCTAAAAGTAAAACGATTTGAGTGTGCTGAACCAGGTGATGTTCCCATATCAGCTCCAGTGGTCATCATAACAGGGTCAGTCTTCACTGTTTCCTCTTCACCCGCCCTTCCCTCCCTCTGCCCTGAAAGCAAATCCCAGGTGTCATTTCATCTGGAGCTATTTCCAATGTTTCTAAAAGGTAAGGGCTCTCTCTCTCACTAAAAACACATTTACCACCCTGTTGTGGTCTAAGAAAAAATAAACAATTCCTTAACAGATAGAGAGATGGTCTGTTTGAATCAGGGGCCTTTAACACTGTCAAGTGGATCAGTCTCATCCTTTATGGGTTGTATTTTAGTGCCTTGTTTAAGAAGTCATTTGCTATTCCAATCACAAAGGTAGTTTGCAAGTTCTGCATTTTATATCTAAATCTCTGTTCTCCTGAGAACCAGTTTTGTGTGTTGTTGTCAGGCCTGGATCTTGATACCATTTTCCATTTTGATAACCTTTTGTCCCATCGCTCTTTGTCAGAAGTTTTTTCTTCTCCAACTGAAGTGCTAGATTGATAGTAGGAGGTGTTTATAAAGAAGGGCAGGGTGGCCTGAGAAATGATTCAACGTGGAGTAAAAGCAGGTGAATTTGTAAGAACGGGAGCTTCAGAGAAGCCAGGCCGTCATTGACACGTTTCGTAGTCGCCAGGACCCCAGGGAACTGACCATTGCTCTTATGTTAATTAGGTACGGCTACAACTGTGTCATTTATGGTTGGGACCCCACCTGCATGATGGGACACGAGTGGATTCGAAACATGAATGTCCACAGCCTGCCTCATGGCCATCATCAGCCTTTCTACAACGTGCTGGTGGAGGATGGCTCCTGCAGATATGCAGCCCAAGGTGAGTGGCCACGGCTCGTCTGTACCTTTCGTGACACCTGGGTGGGTTTTAAACACGCATGGAGCACTCAGGTACTGTGGGCACAGTCATCAGTTTCCAATGGCTCACCTTAGGGCCGATATTTAGCCAGTAAACATGGATGGTGTGCCCTGGTGTGGCGATACCACGGGTTAGATAGTCACGGTCCTCCACGTCTCCCCCTCCATCGCCACCACAGCTAGGACCCTATTCCAGTGCTGCTGCTGACCTCTGTTCTGATTGGTCATTGCCTTTGCCAGTCAGATTTCCACTGCCTGCTCCCTAGGCATTGCCAGTGGCTCCCTCCATGTAAGAAGGGTCAGCTCGAGCCCTGCCCATACCACCTGCTTGTGCTGGGGCATTGAGTGGACACTTGGGAGCCGCCCTAGCACCCTCTGGCCTCCTGAGACTGGCAGCCTTGTGCTCCCCCAGAGACACCGCTGTGGGAACTGCATGCACTGCACTGGCCTAAGCACAGGGGCTTGGCAGGCGGGGCCTCTGGCAGCCCAGATGGGCGCGAGCTCGGCACTCCCGAGACAGACCGGCGAGCCTGGGCCGGGCCGGCAGGGCAGACAAAAATCCTTCGCTGTGAGTCTCATTTCTTTGTTCTTCTAATTAATGGGACGGAGTTATAGCAGACCTGCCCGTGGAGGTCCTTATGACGGTCATTTAATTAATAAAAATGAGCACAGATGCTAACACAGTGCTGCTCTGTGACAGGCACATCCTAGTGTCTGTTGACTCCGTCTGAAAACGCTCATTGCCATCAGCATCACACTCGTTTTGTAGACGCGGAAACGAGTACAGAGGCGTTCAGATTAGAACTGACGAGGAGGAATCTCAACACAGGCCACTTTGCAAGGCCTCGTCCATAACCGTCAGGCCACACCTTTTGTGTCTGACCTAAAACACGTTCGACCCAACTCAGTGTCATGTTCTAGTAAGTGCAGTAGTAGATGTAGTGGGCGTGTGAAAAGCTCAGAAGTATCGAAAAGACTAGAGAAAGTTTCTTACGGATGGTTGGTAAGCATCAGAAACTGAGAGACAGTCACAACAACAGGAGAAAGTCTGGTTGTTGAGACCACGGGGGCTCGAATCTGTGCAGTGGACCACGGAGCTGCAGGAGCTCAAGGTGCACTGTGTCAGCAGAGGTGCCGGCCGTGGTTTTGTCTAACTTTGAAGCTGTGTCAAAAAATCATACTAACAATTTTGAAAACTCAACATGGTTTGAAAACTGTTGAGTGACCTGTGGACTCTGCACCCCCACTAATCACTCAGTGAGCCCTGCCCACTACATCACAGGAATGAAGGGGCTTGTCCTGTGACCCAGGCCAGCGCCTCTGGCTCCACCTCGTACCTTCATTGCCCACTATAGAGGGGGGACCTTAAGACTTTCAGTATTTGATATGTGAGTGTCCAGAAACATCGATGTTAACTTTGAAATGGGCTCTTTGGAGTAGGTGAAACAGTATTTGGCTGGGGTGTTCTGAATTTTGTCAGTGTCTCAGGACTTCATCTCCATGTCTCAAGTCAGCGTGCCCTGCGAGGTTTAGTCACATCACGTGATGACTTGTGACAGCGTTCAGTGTCTGCTGTCAGTTCTACACTCTGAAACTCAGATCGAACCAAGTGACTGTGGGTAATGTTAATAGACTGCCTTTTTAAAGTTTACTTTCTGAGGCTTTTAGAACGTTCTTAACTCCTGGTCTCACCCTGTGGTGACTCCACTTTTTCTGCCAGAGGTTGTGTCAGCCTCTGGGCGATGCTTCCTGGGCATCAGCGGCATGCCAGCCGGGTTGCGGGCCGAATGGAGGGGACCCCGTTGTAGGTTACCCCAGGAGGGCCCGGTGTGACATGTGGGGCTCCTCTGGCTCTGAGTTAGCTGCTTCCCTCTTGTGGCCTCGTTAACTGTTTACACGTACGCTGGCCCCTCTCAGGGCCTTATTTCCATCCCAGGCTCTTCTCTGGGCCCGTGCCCACCTCCCTAAATTAGCCCTGCCCCCAGGCATCTGCAGCCGGGTTCTTCAGGTGGCTCAGGTGTCTTACCAGAACGCATCCTGCCAGTCCTTGACTGTACCCAAGTTCCTGCTTGTCTCGTTGGAGTGGTGCCACCCGGGCACCATCTCTGAACTTCTCTGTCCCTCCCCTCGTCATACGTCCAGTCGGTCAGCACATCTCTGATTCTGCCACCTAGATGCCCATCTCTCATACTCGCATCCACTCTGTTCTCTCCCTGTCTCCCGACCCCTCTCCGTACCACAAGTATTTCTTGCCTAAATTGTAGCAGCTTCCTAACGGGCGCCAGGCTTGCCTCCCACAGGGCATTTCCTTGGCAACAGCTGGAGAATCTTCCACGTGCTGCTACATCTGCCTGGCAAGCCAGACTCCTTTGTGTGGCCCAGAGGTCACTAGACCCTCTCTCACAAGATCATCTGTTCCTGCCCCCATCATGCTCCCACCAGGTTCAACTTCGGTGTCCTGGAGATCATCACGCCCAAAGGTCTGCACACAGGTGGTTGTCCTTTATGAATAGGCTTCTCCCCACCCCCAAGTGTTGGCTGATGCCTCAGGTTGAATGCCCCCTCCCCCAGGGTGGTCTGCACTGCCTGAGCTCCTGCCCTCTGGGTCATGGTGCCTTCACTGCCAGTATTTCCCCCGCAGTGATCTGGTTCCCTTGCTCCGTCATAAGCTCAGTGAGCAGACCGGATCTGCCCTGCTCTCTGGGGGTCTCTGGCCCTGACTAGCAGATGCTCACCCAGCTGCAGGGAGGGGGCCCCTGTCATAGAGGTCTGTGAGCAGTGCAGACGGAGATGAGTGCATGTGGTGTGTGATTGAGAGGCTGGCGTCTCTGTGACAACTTTGGATGAAGAGGATTTCAAGTGTGTGAACACAGTGATAACCCATACACCCTCCGCTAGATCCAGCAGTTAGCATTTCTCCGTTCGTTTGACTTACAGATGGAGATTTTCATTCTTTGCTGAACCACTTGAAAGAACATTGCAGACGTGACTAAAGACAGTCTTACCTGTTGTAAGAATCGCATTGCACTGCGTGGCCTCGATTATAGCCTCGCAAAGAGAAGTCCTAATACGTAGCAGTCAGTCGTCATGCCCGTTTCCCAGTTGTCACAGAGTAACCTTTAGGTATGTGTGCACGTGTTCATTTTAAAATCAGGACCCAATCGGGATTGAGGCACCGCATTTGGTTATGTCTCCTGAGTCTCTCTCAGGAAAAAAAACAAAAACAGTTCCTCATTCCTTCTCCTCCCGCCTCCCTCCTGTTAACCAACACAAGACTGACTTTATGAAGAGTCCAGGGTTACCCTGTAAGTGGTCTGACTTTCTGGGCTCATCATACTGTTTGCTCGTGTGTGTTGTGTGTAAACTGGAAGGTAAGCCTGAAGCTGGGTGAGATCAGGTTAATGTTTGTGGATGAAATACCTCCTATCAGATGCTGTGTGTGTCACATTGCCTGTCATCCAGAGAAACTGTGGTGTCCGATGTCCTGCTGCTAGTGAGGTGGATTTTGGTCCCTTTGCTAAGACAGTGACCACTGTAAGGGCCAGTTTTCCTTTTGCAATTAACAAGAGACCCATGGACTCACACTGTGACAGCCTGTCTACCATCTCCCCTGGTGACCTTTGTCCTTGCGTTTGTGCCAGCACCTGCGGAGTGTCCTCGCCTGAGTTGTGTGAGAACTGCAAAACGGTGCGTTTCTGCGGCTGGCGCTCCTCCACTAATGCAAACAGGGCTCCCCGCCCCCCCCCCCCAATCTCTGCAAAACGGTGCGTTTCTGCGGCTGGCGCTCCTCCACTAATGCAAACAGGGCTCCCCGCCCCCTCCCCCCCCCCCAATCTCTGCAAAACGGTGCGTTTCTGCGGCTGGCGCTCCTCCACTAATGCAAACAGGGCTCCCCCCCCCAACTCTACTTCTCCCCTCCCCATAGAGTCCCTGGATTTTTATTTAGTCAATGTGTTATAATCATTTGAAACAATTTTTTGCTCAAATTATCCCATATTTAGCCAAAGGGAGACTTTGAGAGGCTAAATTTTAAAAACATTTGTTTAAATTTTTTTTTTTTTTTTTTTTTACCATTTCTTGGTTAACTTATTTGCATTAAGTTGTTTTGTTTTATAGCTCTTATCTAAATTTTCAAACTTTGGCTCCATGATCCTAGTAACCTAGGTAGACTCCATTAACGAACACCCTTGTAAGGATTAGTTCTCCGGAGACAAAGAGCAGAGCGTAGACCACACGCGTGTGCCACGTCTTCAGGCAGCTCCATCCTGCAGCAGGGAGTCAGCGTTCACCTGAATCCTGGCGGGGCACAGACCGCCTGGCATATTCATCCTACTTGTCGTGGTTCCCACCAGGGGGTGTGCTCCTGGCTCAGCCCCCTCCCCCCCCTTCTCAGTCACTGTGGGAAAGAGTGAGGCAGATGCTCTCAACCCCAGCAGCTGCCATGTTGGGAGGTCAGGAATTCGCTGTGATGTGAGCATCCAGTTCTTGCGTGTGTTGACAGTGCTTGGTGCCTGTGCCCTCCCCACCTGTTAGTTCTGTTCCCGTAATGTGCCCTACATTCCCAAACTGGCGTGTCTGCTGTCCCACACACACCCCCAGCCTCCGGCACCTGCATGGGAGAATCCCCCGTGTCGGCACCGGGGTGGGACATGTCAGAGGGCCGTCAGCATTCTCTTTTATTTTTATTTTTATTGATTGATTGATTGTATTTATCCTCAGATAGAGCGGGAGGGAGAAAGGGGGAAGAGAGAGAGAGAAATATCGATGTGAGAGAGACACTGACTGGCTGCCACTCACATGACCCCAACCGGGGCTGGAGACAAACTGCAACTGAGGTACCTGTCCTTAGTGGGAACCGAACCTAGGACTCTCTGGTCCGTGGGCCAACGCTCCATCTGCTGAGCCAAACCGGCCAGGGCTCTCTTTTAACTGTGACACTCTCCAGTGTTGTTCTCCTTGGCCTGGGCAGGCCCTCCACTGGCGACATGCTGGCCCACGGCCCGCGGTCCTTGTCCCTGCGGGTCCGTGTCGTCAGAGGACTCCTGGTAAAGGGCCGGTGTCCAGACTAAGGGATGCTCAGCGCCGAGGAAGTCAGCCAGCTGTAGGCAGGCGGTGGCTGTACGTTTGTGTGAACAAACAAACAGTCCTGGGTTCTCTTGGCGTCACGCTGTTACATTTAGATACGTGCATGTGTTCACAGGAGACTGGAAAGGCAAGCTCACGGGTGGATCGTGGTTTCTTCTCGGGCAGGGAGGGGCCAGGCCAGGCCAGGGCAGCCGCCCCTGAGGCTCAGGCAGCGTCCCCATGATTTCACACCAGTGTGTTCGTATGGTTTTGGGCAGCTGGAAAATTTAAAATAAAATCAGCAGACACATTTCTCTGAAAATTTCAAGGGAATGAAAAAGACTTCTCGAGGTTTTTCCAGGATTTTTAAGTAGTTCCTGTTTAATATTTTGCTCAAATGATGTGTCATCATTTGTATCACTAAGATTTCTCATTTCTCTTCTAGTCAGTATTTTAGGAACTTTGTTGAGTAGATTGGGATTTATTTTCCCCTCATAAGACATAGTTGCTAACCTACCATCTTGTTTTATCCATAACACCGTTTTTCACTAACACAGTCTTCCTGCCTTGCTCGGAGCCCAGGCAGGTAGATGCGTTGAATTCGGCCATGTCCCCTGACAGCCAGGAGCGGGCCGTGAGCACCTCGCGGCCTGTCCCCCCACGTGCCGTCCCCACGTTCTGCCTGTGCGCTTGCCTCTGGTTCGGGCCCACGTTCAGAGTGCTGGGCAGCAGCTGCCGGGCTGTTGCCCTTAGGATTCGAGACAGGAACCTGCCTCCACCCTCCTGCCTTCCGCCCAGCACTCGGACAGCAAGGGTTCGGCGGCCCGGGCTGCTGTTGTACTGACAGAGAGGAAGGAAGAGAGAGGAGAAGAGAAGAGATGCTGAGACAGACGTCTGACTTTCTTCAGAGCAGGGCCAGCCCCCCTTGGGCCAGAAGTTCTCTGTGCAGGGCTGGCCTGTGCGTTGGTTCGGCGGCTCCCTGGCCTCTGGCCGCTCCGTGCCTGAAGCGCCCGGTCGTGCGACCAGAAATGTCTTCACGTGTTCGCGGCCCGGCCGAGGCAAAATGGGCCCGATCGGGAGCCGCTGCTCTTGCGAACTGGCAACAAAGTGGTTGTTCTAAGTTGCCCACTTGAATTATTTTTACCTGAAATATCTTTGTCCTGCCACCGGTGACAGGTGACGTGGTCCCTTAGAGCAGGGGTGGAGAACATCCAGCCCGCGGGCTGAATTACAAGGCCCGTGAAATCACTACTGGCTGACATCACACCTCACCAAATTAACCCGACCAAATGCAGCGGGCTAATTTTCATGTTGATGATTTTGTATGGCCTATGAATGATGTTATAAATATCCAGATGGCCCTTGCAGAAAAGGCTCCTCGCCCCTGCTTTAGAGTAAAGGGACTTCTGTCTCTTGGTGACACCCCCGATTCTTTTCCCTCCCTCTGACCGTCTGCCTACATATGCAAGAGAATGCAACTAGGAGGCCCTTGGCAGCTGACCTGGCTGAGGCTCCAGGCTGTGGTCCTGTCCCCAAGCAGGATAAGCCGCCTCACTCGTTGGGGGAGGGGTGGCAGGGACAGGTGGGCGGGAAAGGGCATCTTCCCAGCCAGTGGCATTTTGAGACATTCGAGGTTGTTTACAGTCCCCGCGTTTTCTGGCGGCACCAGCTAAGTGCCCGGCTGAAAGAAGCCATTCGAAGGCGTAGCTGTGCCTTGTGATGCCGCAGCCCAGACACATCGCCTCCTGGGCGCTTCCTGGCGTTCCCCTGGCAGTCCACTGAGTTGCTGTGTCGTCATTTCTTCACTGTGACCTGCTGGGGGTGCTGTCATAAGGAATGCTGAGGTAGCTTCCTCGTGTTGGGGCTGTGCACCCGGACCGGGTGTCCTGGGTGCATGTCAGGACATTCAGGACATGCACTGAGGGTGTGAGCCGGCCTGGCGGCCAGGCTTCTGCACAGACTCGCGGGAATCCATCCCAGCGATAGGCTGTGCGAAGTGTGGCTTCGTGTGAAGGGGGCCGGCTGCCCTGGAACACAGTCAGGCAGAAGGTCTGCTGGCCAGCTCCCTCTGGTGCCAGGTCAAGGGGTGAGGCTTGGCTTCTCCCAGGTGGGGCCCATGCAGAGTCACTTTCGAACAGTGTTTTGGGGAGAAGCCATTTGAAAGGATCTCAGCCTTTAAAATCCCTCACCTGCAATGTCACCGGTTTTCTTCCATGGTTCCGTTTTAAAGGGGTCTTATTTTTACTTCATCCTCTAGCAGTGGCGTAGAGAACAGGTGTGGAGGTAGCATGGCTTTCTAGGAGATTATACAGATGTCATAACCATGTCCGTGGACGGAGACTGGTCTGCGTGGGCGAGGCTCACATTAGTAGACAGGAAGGATGCAGGTACGAGACTGGCCACCAGAGGATGCGGGGCTTCCGAGGTGTATCCACTGGTGAAATGGAGCCACTCGGGTACCCTCGTCCGTTTGCTTGTGTGAGGCCAAGTCAGGAGCATGGTGAGTCTGGTGTGCCAGCCCCCAGGAGACTGCTGGGGCTGCTGAGGGCCCCAGGCCACCATCTCCCGTCCCCCGATTGCCACTCCCTGCCTTTCTCCTGTTAGCTCCTCCGCATGCCTTCAACATCTTGTCTTTCCTTTTCCTCCTCAAAATGCTACTCAGAAACGGTTGCTAGGATATTCGTTGGATAAAAGATGCCACAGGAAAGTCCATTTTAACGAGAATGTGCCTCTTTATCAACAGAAAACTTGGAATATAACGTGGAGCCTCAAGAAATCTCGCACCCGGATGTCGGACGCTACTTCTCGGAGTTCACGGGCACTCACTACGTCCCGAACGCGGAGCTCGAGCTCCGCTACCCGGAGGACCTGGAGTCCGTGTACGAGACGGTGCAGAACATCTACAGTGCGAAGAAGGAGGACGCGGAGTGAAGTCTCCTAGGGGACACTGCACCTTTGCTGCTGCTGCTACCTGCCCAGAGAACAGGACCCCGAAGCCTCCGCCGACCACCAGGAAAGCCACTTGGCCAGGAGCGCTGGTTGCCTCCCCCTAAGTTGAACTCTCTGCTCTCCTCAGCTGCAAAGACAGTGTTGCTCTCCGCCTGCACTAGTGAATTCCTTGGAAAGGCACTGTGTTCAGTGGCATGGCTCGTTGCTTGTCCTGTGGTGACAGTCTGTGACATTCTGTCTTCACGAGGTCGCACAGGCGACACTCTTATAGTCCCTTCTTAGCTCACTTCTCATTTGTCTGTCTCGCACTTACCTCCGATCACTTCACTTGCTGGGCAGATGGCCGCGCGCCGGCCACACTTCCTGCCTGATCTCTGGAGCAGGCGCAGCCCCCGCCGGGCTTGTTCGTCTTTATACCCTGAGTTTAGCTGCTTATTCAGAGGTGAAGCTAAGTGATCTTGGCAGCATCTTGGAGATGAACAAACTAGTAGTAATAACACTCATTTGCATTTATTTTCTAACGTGTGAAACAGATTCCAGGCACTTACCTTTTTCTGTATTTGAATTAGAAGAATAATAATTTTCCCTCTTGGATTTATGCTCCTATTTCTATGAATCATTAATTTTCCATTTTCTTACATGAAAGTCTTTGAGGAAATGCATAATAATGACCTTGGTGATGGATTTTTCTCTGTTTATCCTCCCTTTAACTTTTTAAATTTTATTTTAAGACTCCAGTATCATGAGTAGCTCTCGAATCAGTGATGGGTTCTCTTTATAGTAGGAAGTACAATCTGATGTTAAAATTTTAAATGTTTGCTTTTAGAAATTATACTTTGAGGTCTTCAAAGACCTAAAAATGCTATTTCACTTTTGTACCCAGAAGAAATACTGGACTTACGAAAGTGAAAAGAGGAGGTCTTGTGCCCCTCGTCATTCCTGAGACTCACATTAAGACCTTTTTGAATGTGGCAGGGTAGAACCGAAAACGTCTTTCACCGTAAGAGTCCCAGCAGTGAGAAAGGAAACGGGAGCAGCCTGCGCTCGCGAGTCCCGTGGCCATGGAAGCACCCGGCGGAGCCTGTGCTCACGTCCGGGGCGTCCGACTTTGTCCTCAGGCCACGCTGGCTCCTCCACGTTCTTAGTGCCTGGTGCTGAAGGTTCCAAGTCTGTGCGGCTCTGGAACTCCGCCGCCCGAACCCCAGGTCTCCAGCAAGCGAACCTTGTAGTTCACCAGTGGAGGCTAAGTCTGGAGTTAGGGCCTTGTCCCTCCCCTCTGAGTTTGAAAGACTCCAGCTGATCTGAGATGAGGCTTTAGGGGACAGGGATCCAGTCTCCTCGCTGCTTGTGTCCATTTGCGTGCAGCTCCATCTCCATGTCTGATGACGGCCTCTGCCGATCCTTCGGAAACCTGGGACGGCTGAGGTCTGGGGACACCACCCGAGACACCTGATAGCAAGTGATGGCTGAGGTAAGCAATTGTTAGAAAGAGATGGAGATTTGGCCAGCCGACTTCTTCCAGCCTGAATTTGCTATTGTCCAGTGTCCATGTTCCTCATCAAATCCAAAGTCAGGCAATGTGGACTTGTATTCGAAATTGTTCCTCGTCAAATCCAAAGTCAGGCGATGTGGACTTGCATTCGAAATTGTTCCTCGTCAAATCCAAAGTCAGGCGATGTGGACTTGCACTTGCAGTTGTGACCACTCAGCGCCCGCCTGCCCGCGGCTGGGGGTTTTACACTACTGTCATTTAAAGGTGAAAATGAGAAAATGTGGAGTAAAGATTACCGAGATGCATTACCGAGATGCATGCTGAGAATTATGATCGTTGGTTTTCTGGCTTGATTTCCTTTTCTTGTAGAGTCACATCAGCACTAAGAAAGATGGTTTTCCCTTTACTGACCCAATGTAAATATGTTTTTAGACTGTTTTCAAATGTTCCTTCATGAAGGCTTCATGCGGCTGCAGGAGGCCTCTCACCTGTGTAAGTTGGTATTTGGGCACTTTATATTTTTCTAAAAACGTGTTTTGGAACCTGTACTCTAATAAATCACAAGTTTCTTTTTAAAAATTTTTCCAAAGTTTTCTCCATTTTAAAAAGCCCTATTATACAAAGTAGAACTTTTGCAATGTTAAAATATTAACTGTTTGGATATAGTAACTTCTTTTTCTCTTCCAATGAATGCCAAGATCTGTTTTTTGTACAATGACTAATAAATGGAACTGATCCAGAGAGACACAGAAATGGCCTGCCCGATGTTGTCCCAGGACAGCAGCCCCCCCGCGACCTGTGGCGGGAGTCTCGCCGCTCTTCTGATCAAACGAGGCGAAAATGTGCTCTGCCGAAATTTTTCTTAGCCTTGGTGAGTGAACAGGGTATCTTCAGACTGATTTTCCTGCCAAACGTGAATTTTATACGCTCGCAAGTAATCTTGAGAGTATCTGGTTATAAAGCAAAGACTGCCGCTTTTCATCATGTTAAAAGTGTTTGTGAAACGAGAACTTCGGAAGCTCAGCGAGGAACCCACGCTCTTGGTGCGTCATTCGCGTCCACCCGAAGCTGTGTGCCGTACCTCCTGCCCAGGATGCCCGTGGAGCCGGGCTCTCCGTGATGTCAGCACGCTGTGAGGAGGGGTCGGGGCGCTGCGGTCTCTCTCACGGCCGTCCTCGGCGCTCGAGCCTTGTGACTGTCCCGGAGCGTGCAGCGTGCCCGTCTTCCGGCATCAGACCCTGGACTGGCCGGTGGGCGCACGCAGGTCCCCGCGGCCCCGGGCGGGCGGCCGGCCTCTCTGTTGTCTGCCCGCACGCTTGTGGATCACTGTGAGTGCATTGATTGACCGCGAGACCCAGCGCTGAACGCTGTTGCTCTGAGTTTACTATTTCATCGTATCTACTTAATGTTTGATTTTAAAATGTCAGGTGTTTCGGTCTTCCCCAACGTGTTAGGTTGAGTTGCGCTTTTACGTCCCAGGCTTGCTTCTGCGCCGTCAAGTCCCCTCGCTGCGAAGGGGAAACACTTGGCCCTCTCAGTCCATGTTCCAGGTACGCGACACGGAACCACCAGCAGCTCTGTCCTTCGAAGGAATCTGTGTCCGTTACAACCAAGATGTCTGTCTTCTGTTTCTGGGAAGAAGGGGCGACCGCTCACCTGGGGGCAGTTTGTTTCCGAAGCCGCTCACCGCTGCTTGCATGTGTCACTTTGCCTCGCTTGCTCCCTTTGAGCCAGGCCCTGGCCCGAGCGGCCGACGGCCCCCAGCAACCCACAGGCAGGGCCAGGTCGTGAATATTTGGGCTGCGTATGGTCTTAGTCACATCTTCTTTGTTTTTTAAAAAATGTACAAAACATTCTGAGCTCAAGGGCTGCACAGAAAGAGGCCGCAGGCTGGAGGCGGCCGCGGGCCCTCGCTCGCTGAGCCCGGCCGGGGCGGGGCTGCCTGGCGCCCGCTGTACAGATGGGGAATCACGCACCCTGCTTGTTCGTAGGTGGGAAGCCTGGCATTTGACAGCCACACTACCGACTACCTCGCAACGTTTGTACCCTTTGCCTTGCAGCAACTTTACCTTCTTACCTTTCACTTCTGAAAACCTAGAATCAAGAGAAAAGGACATTCCTTCGGTGATTAAAATGATGTGCAATTATAGCATAAATGTATTATGGCCATTTAGCGATGATTGTATTAGGGTAATGCTAGTTCTGTAATAAATAGACCCAAAAATGTACGCTGGCTCGAACACACAAGAACTTTCTTGCTGAAGTGACACTGCGGGGGGGGGGGGGGGACGGTGGGCGGGGCGGCCCCAGGCAGTGGCTCTCTGTCTGTGTGCAGACTTGCAGGCGCCCCCTGGGCCATCTCCACCCAGCCCACAGGGGCCCGGCCTGAGGGACACTCCTGAGGGAGGGGCCCTGCAAGCCCAGGCCGAGCCGCACTTCCACTCACATCCGGGAGGTCGGGAGGGGCGAGGAGCGTGTGGCTGACGGCTCCTGCCCTGTTTCAGGCACCGGTGCGCTCTTCCCGGGGTGAGCACCCCGCTCCCTGGGAGGCAGCCTCCGTAACTCAGGCTGGCTGAGGCGACAGACATCGCCTGTGTCATTGGCTTCTTCCGCAGTGTGACCCCCCGGCAGCCAGGGGTCTCCTTGCAGGCTGCGTCATCTTAAATCCATAGTCACTGCAGCAGATGGCGGCGGGAAGGAGAGACCGGACACCCAGCACTGCCTCGGGACTCAAGTTACAGACCCACAGCCTAACTCCAGAGCAGGCTGGGAACGGCCTGTGTGCCCAGCAGGGGGCTGGAGGTTTGGGGCTCCACCCTGTCCTACCTCCACTGTACCTACACACACAGCACAGCTCCTGTAGTACTGAGGTCCTGCCGGGTGGGCGTTGTGGGAGACACTCCCTGCCCCATAGCACCCCGCACTGATCCTGCCCTCTGGGACAAATCCCCTGGGTGACATCACAAGTGGGTGTTGGGGTGCCTCCTCCCCGGTAGCCGTTTCCTCCCTGGTCACGTTTGGGGGCCAGGCAAAGATGTGTGCAATAAGCCCGGGACCCCTCCGGCAACGATTCCCTCAAACTTAGCAGGCTGCTCACCTGTCTGTCAGAAATCAGACCCCAAGGTCTCCCAGAACTTCCCAGTCGGCTGGGTCTCCTTCCTTCTCTGCCCGGGCCTCTCTCTCCCCCCCACCTAACAGTGCCACCTTCATCCGTACGAGGCAAAGCGGAGGCTCGCTGTTCAAGGGCCCCGTCACTCGAAGTGGTTCTCACCCTCATCTCCTGCTGTGGGCGCACAGAAGCGGCCACCTAGGGAGTTTTTCAACATCAGAAGCCGGGGTTGCTGACTTCACTTTAGTTCATTTTTGCATGAGTTTCTCTCCCGTGCTACCCTGCCATCAGCAAAGAGTAACCACACAGGGTCCCCCGTCTCTTTCCAGCCACTTCCCAAGACCAGCTGCAGTGCCGGGGGCTCCGCCTCAGCAGACTGACAGTTTTACAGGCACGACCCCCAAACACAGCCCCCCAGCCCCCGCCCTGCCCCCTGGCGGCCAAGGCGGCACTGTGTAGGCTGGGTGGTGCCAGGGCTGCTCCGTTGTTTTCAAGTTTCAAGTGGACTGAAGTTTCCATAGGAAATTCCACTTCCTGTTTGTGCAAAAACTCCGAGCACGATGATGTCAGCTTTTCTGGGGAGCGGAGCGAGCCAAGCAAGTTGTCAGTGAACTTGGGAAAAGAAATGCAGGGCGAAGGACAGAGACCTGGGGTGGGGGCTGGCGGGGGATGAGAATCCTGGCAAGGTTAGAAGTCCTGTCCGCCCCTCGTAAAACGACAGAATCCCTCGTGGAAGTTTTCACATTCAGGCCGTTGAATTGGGGGGAACTCGGGGAGCCCTTTGAATGGGTTCATTGTTTCATCTCCAGAACACTCCCAGCTTAAGGTGTGAGAATTCTTTAATGATCCACTGCTTACAACATGGTGCTGTTCTCCGTCAAGGGGGGGACTCCCCACGATACCATGCTCCACCCCCATCTTTCTCAACCCTCTTTCCAGCATTGCCACCCCCACCACCAGGAGCCTTATTTTAGACCATCTTTCCCCCTAATCACCTTCCCCCAGGAAATTGATCTTTTTCTTTTTAATTGAGGTGACACTCATATCACATAAAGCGAACCATTTTAAAGTGTACAGAGCAGTGGCATTTAGTACATTCACAATGTTGTCGAGTTCCAAAAAATGTCATCGCCCCAAAGTAAAACCCCACCCCCATGAAGCAGTCATTCCCCATGTCTCCCTCAGCCCCGACCCACTTTGGGTTTCCATGGCTCTCCCTCTTCCGGACGTTTCATACAAGTGGGATCATGTAGTGTGTGACCTTTTGTGTCTGGCTGCTTGAACCCAGCATCGTGTTTTCAAAGTTTATCCACATCGTAGCACATATCGCCCGGTACTTCATTCCTTTTTATGGCTGCATAATATTCCATCGTGTGGACAGACCACAGTTTATCCATTCAGCTATTGATGGACATCATTGGGTTGTTTCCACTTTTCAGCCGTTGTTAACAGAGCTGCTGTGCACCCCCATGACATGTTGGCTATTGTATGCATTTCTGTGCATCACACACTAAAAGAGCAATTGGTCCGGCTGGTGTGGCTCAGTGGTTGAGCATCGACCCATGCGCCAAGAGGTCACCGGTTCAATTCCTGGCCAGGACACATGCCCAGGTTGTGGGCCCAATCCCCAGTTGGGGGCATGCAGGAGGCAGCCAATCGATGTTCTCTCTTATTAATGTTTCTATCTCTCTCTCCCTCTCACTTTCTCTCTCTCTAAAGAGTCAATAAAGGAAAATTAAAAAATATAAAAAAGTAATCATTTTTCTCTCCCCCCCAAGAACCAGATTCTCTCTTTGGGGGTGATATCGTCCCACTGAGAATTCGAGTCCCACTGGGCGGTGGCGTGAGGAAGACCTGCTGTGGGTCCCCTCCCACTGGTGACCACAGCCGTCTTGCTTTGAGTGTGTTTTAATGGGCCCACCTTTGTGCCAGGAGCCGTAGTGAACCCGGAAGGATGTTTCTGCCACCCAGAACGGATTCCAGAGACCACTGTGTACAGGCAGCGTTTCACCGTCTTTGCTTAGTGTTATAATGACTGGGTTCCAGAACCTTCTAGATATTCCTAAAAACAAACAAAAAACCTGATCAGTTTGAGTCATTGCAAGAATCAACCAATGAATGTATCAATGAGGAGCAACACATATATGTTTCTCTCTCCTTTCCTCCCTCTCTCTAAAATCAGCTTTTTGAAAAAGAAAACTAACGGGTCCCTTGACCCTCATTGAACATATAGAAATAATGAGACCAATGAGTTCAGTGACTTGACCTGGCAGGGTTTCAGAGCAGGGACACGAGCCCAGGCCTTCGGACTTGGCCGAAGTCTCTCCTGCCCCCAAACGGCTCCCTCGGCAGGGTTTTCTTGCCCGACACAAAATGCCTCGCTACTGTTATCATCCCTCCTCAGCTGGGATTCAACAACCTTCCTTCTTCCGCAGTTACTGCCCTAGAGCCCCCTGCTGGCCGGCTTCAGCCACTCTGATCTGCTCGAAAAAGTGTCTCCTTCCCTCCCGTGGCAGTGTTTGCTGCTGCTTTTGTTTTTTGTTTTTGTTTGTTTTGTTTTGTTTTGTTAATCCTCACTCGAGGATATTTTTCCATTGATTTTTTTTTTTTTTGTAGATAGAAGGGAAAGCAGGGAGGTGGAGAGAGAGAAACATCAATACGAGAGAGACATTGCCTGATTGCCTCCTGCATGACCCCGACCAGGGCCAGGGACCAAACCGCAACTGAGGTGTGTGTCCTTAACCGGGAATCAAACCTGCGACCCTTTGGTCCAGAGGCCAACGCTCTAACCTGAACCAAACCTGCCAGGGCCAGTTGACGCTCTGGAAGTCTGGGGAAACCCTATTCCAAACCTACAGAGGCTTCTTAAGGGAAGTTGCTCCCCCCTCCCCCCAGTTTTATTGAGGTATAATTGGTACACAGAAAAGCGGCACTAATTAGTGTGTACAGGTTGGTGAGTTTGCACGCACACGGTTGTGTTCCCGTGACCTCGATTCACGCAGTGAACATGCCCTTCACCTCCAGAAGGGTCCCTGGGTCCCTGGGGGGTTTTTCGTTCTCGTGATTTGAACATTTGAGACCAGTTCTGCCCTGAAGCTCAGTTTTGAGTGCCCTCATCCAATCTACGGGACGAGTCAAGACAGTGATGTGGGCTGGGGAATAATCCAGAATGACCACCTCAGGTCTGTCCGGGGCTGTGTTTTACTTCTGTGTGGATGACCTGGGCCCCAGCGGTGCCGTTGGGGTCTCCCGGAGCCTCCAGTGACAGGCATGAGCCAGTGACGTCCTGATGCATCGACATTGTCACACTCTCACCTCTCACCTGTCCTGTGCCTTCGACTTGGACCTCTCGGCCCACCCAGGTTGCAGAGCCAGGGACGGGCCATGCGTCCCACCACGCGACCTCTAGTGCTGGTAGCACAGCCCCCGTTTCCGGGCTCGTGGCCGTCTGCTTTCACCGGGGCAGAGAAGCTGGCAGCCTCTCTCCTCCGAGAGCCTGGCTTTGCAGAATCCCGGGCCCCCGTCTCGAGAGGCCCGGCCGGAAGCCTGGTCAGGGCTGGGGCACTGCCTGCTGGGACTCGGCCAAGTCCCTCGGCCCAGCTGACACCGTCCCCGAAAGCTTCAGCTTGGCTCACGGCCAGCTGCCTGTCAGTCCTGGCGTGGGTCGCCGGGCACGGGGCCACCGTGCTGCGTGGTGACAAGTCTGCTCAGGTTCTGTTCTCCAGACCGGGACCCCGTCACGTGGACAACACAGTGAGCAGAGGTTCCGTGACGCCGGGAACCCGAGGCGGGGATCCGGACTGGAGGTGGCCACGGGTGTAATGTGGTGGCTGTT